TTTAAGTGAATCTTTAGTAAACAAATTAACATTAAATATATATGTGAAATAAGAAATATATATATATATAATATATATATATATATATTGATTAATCAAAATTTAATGTTTTTTAATATATTTTTATGATACATATGTTCAATAATTTTATAATTAGTAGATATGAAATATTTTGTTTATTATTGCTTTTATATTTATTTATTTTATTTTATTTTATTTTTTGACATAATGAATACATTTAAATTGGCATTGTGCATTGAATAAAAATATTGTTAATTAAATCACTAAACATATAAGGACCTGTTGCCTGCAAAGCTTGTCCCTGTGGACATTCCTTTTTTAATGCACGGCGCAATCTATCAAAAGTCCACCCAGTCCTGATGGTGGCGCAATGAAAACAAGGAGAACTAATCGTATTAAACGCGAGAAGCCAAATTATTATGATGCTTTGGAATATGACAAGCAAACGAAAAAAAGTAGCAAAGTAAGAGTTATATAGAATATTTTTAGGAACTAGATTATTATATTAATATTTCATAACATAGATTTATATGATCACAATTAGATTCATTTACACAAAACAATTACATTCTTCTTAATATTATTGCATAAAAAAGATATATTTTTCTCAAAATATTTATATTCTCAGTACATATATATAAAAATTCTATTCTCTATTCTTTTAGATCAGACAAACCACAGATACTGCAAGTGATATTGATTGTCGGCAGTTGAATAAAAAGAAGAAGCGGAAAGGAAAGGGAAAGGGTAAAAGTGGCAGTAATAGTGGAGCAGGAGATGATGACGATGAAATGGATGGGATCAATGGCTTATCACCAGAGAAGCAACTCACTTGTTCTCTTATATTGCAAGAACTAAATAATAAAATGAGAGTAGTAGCTTGGAAGCCTATGTGAAGTTGAAAATATATAGATACATGTGTATCTGTTTGACAACTCTGGCAACATCAGTTCAACATGATTGCTACTATGCAGTAATAAGGTGCAAATAAAACAAAGGTAAGCGGTGTTATGTGAATTCCTATGCCATTGGAAATTTACCAAAATACATCGATTTCCCTATATAGACATAACGGACTGCCATATAAAAGTCTCAATATGTAATATTTTTTTATGTCATACTTTTGTGGATTATTTTTTATCATAATTGTGATGTTATTTCAAAGTTGTTGTGTATGAAACATATAAACTTAATTTGTGCTTTCTATCAATATATATACTGTCTATATCTGTATCTCACAGATTCAATCCTCAAAATTTTATTTATCTAATATTAAAATTACATATAATGATGTAATTATGACTATGTCATTTATAATCATGACTGCCATATATAATATTCTTAATATGGATATAAATATAGTTTAACAAATATAATCTTCCAAAACTATTTATAGTAATCGTTATATTTACCTATTTGAAGACTAAAAATATGTAAAAGTCATGACTATATATATACATATTTTTTTTTTATTTACATAAATGCGCTTAGATTTACTTAAAACAAAATTGTATATATTTTTTATCGTCTTACATAGCTCTTCTTGAGTATAGCTCTTCAGAATATCAATTTCATACACGTTTATATTAAGGGTTAAATTGTGGCAATAAAGATTTGTACATACAATATAAATAATAAAGTTAAGCAAGGTAAATAGTTTTATTTAAAAACTGAATTTATATTTAACATGTGCACTATTCATGAAGCTTTCAGTAAATATTATTTTGATTTAGTAGAAAGGATATGTGATGAGAAATATTTAAACTTTTAAATGAGAAATATGTAGCGAAATGCACAACTTATTTAATTAAATTTATCTGATGCACATCTTGTAAAAGTATTCTGTGGCAGTAGGAAATGTCAGAAATTAAATGAGGAGTTTATTGATACTTGGAAAAGAGCTCAATGAACGCAGTGATGTTTCTTTTTTGTGACAACTGTTATGATTTATTTATTTTCCTATTACACATTAGATCACTTCACATTATCAACGATCACATTTTCAAAATAATTTACTCTTTTACGGTAGTGTCCCCTTGACGATTATTATTCTCGGCATTCACGGGCAGCTTTGTTGCTGTTGTTGAATTTGTCTGGTTTTCATTGAAAACCAAAAGTAGAGGTAAACCTCCTACGACCATACATGTACCCATGCACAGAAAACACACGGTATAACTTCCGGTTACATCGCGTAAGTAACCTGGAACAATATTAACGTTGTTTCACACTCAAAAGTTATTAAGATGACAAGAATTAATTACATTTAAATAGAACATTATATCGATATAATATTACATCTAAGAGAGAATCCTTTATAAAAATAAATATGCTTATTTAAATATATATTGTAATCATATAATATGTAGAATCCATTTCATAAATTCTTTATTTTTTTATTTTTCTTTCGGAAATTTGATACTAGAAATTAATATCTGTTCTTCACAATTTAATTTAGAGTTTTATTTGTAATTTAATAAGGAATAAAGTATTGTTATTTACTCTTGAAATTTAATTTGCGAAAATACTATCTATTTTCAATCGTTTGTAATTTGAATGCATTTTCTCTTTAACATATGACATTTTCTGACATTTTCTCTAATGAATAATCGATTTCAAATTGATAACAATAATATGACTACAGTATTTAATCTAGTTCAATATATATATATATATATATATATATATATATATATATATAACATTCAGTCAAGAGAAAATTCTATTAAGAGAAAAACCAAAATAAAAATCTGAAGAAATATAAAAAAAGATGTGAGCGATGATTTTCACAGACAATAATCTCAAGGTAATTAAAAAATCATTGAGCTAAAAAACATCCTTGGTAAATATTGGCATATATTGTATGCGCGCGTGCAGCTTCTATATTTTATCTTCGCACCTTTGACATAATTATGTGCACGTAATTAACATGATGTATTATAGTATTACTCAATATTTTTTTATTGTTGTCTCTGGGGGTGCATAAGAATTATTTTGCTCATTATTTTTACAATTATAGACTTTTTAGAATAGTAATAAATTCAATTGTGTGCGGCTTTAATTAATGTACATATCAAGGTACATACACATGAAGAAAAGGATATTAATCCAATTCAAAGAAGAGGACAGATGATTACTTTTGAAAAATAACATCAGCATATAGTTCTACGGTTGAAAAATACCTGCAAGTGGTGGAATGGAGATCGCACCGAAGCTCTGGAACATCCTCACGAGACCATAACTGGACGATATTTTGTCGGTGCCGTATTGATCGGCGAGCAGGACGGGAACTAGGAGAAACCAACAGCCTAGGCATAGTCCATACATGCCAACGGAACACGCTAATACGTAAAAGGAGTGAGCCATCGGGATCGCAAGAACCGCCACGCCGGCACCTACTACGCTGCTCGGTGAAAAAAAAAGAAAAAGACATCGATACTCGATAAATAATTATTATACCTTGAGCCAAATTGCTCCAAGCTCTCTCAGGCAACAAAACAAAACTTTTCTAAAAATATCACTTCGATAATTAATTGCCTGTTTATTTAATATCTACTGAAGAGAGAATAAAAATGGTATCCCCAGGATCCTAAAATATCTTCCAAATGTGGCGATTTGTAATTTTGGAGCATTGGAGAATAAACGGAAACGATTCGATCGATAAACATCAGCGTCGGCCTTTGCAATTTTAACGAAACGATCAGAAATAGAATTGAGAGAGCTACTTTCTACAAGACATAAGTTTTGTTATGTTTTTTATAATTGATGCGACACTCCGTAATAATCTTTTCATACTTAGATAGATTTTACGGAGATAAAAACACGTGTCGTGTCGTGAATAAAATCGCTCACCTTCCGATATATCCTTTCCGTCGATCGAACAGCTTGAGATCCGACAACCAGCCAAGGCCGAGTCTACCGCACAAGTCGAGAGCGGCGGAGATGGCCACTAGGTAGCCAGCCTCCGACTTGGTGTAACCAGCGGCGTGGACATACGCCGGCAGGTAGTACAGCATGTACGGGCTACCGGTGGACATCAAACTGACGGAGATGCACATCATGATGAACTGAGGATTCTTCAGTAGCGACAGATCGAGATAGCGCGTCAGTCTCTGCATAAATGTGATCCTGGATTCTGTCGACGCTGTTAGTGTTAAGGACGGCATCCTGCTTGGCGGCGACGACGGCTGCTGCAGCTGCTGTTGTTGTTCTGGACCCACCGCTGCCACGGATGATTTCAGCGATCTCAGCGACGTTCTCGCGGCCTTGTACACGCACGTCGAGTCCGTCGACAGATCTTCTACGCTGTGCAGGATGCTGGAACTGCGAATCTTGGCCATAGGCTTCATACGAAGACCCTCGCCCATCACGTCCTTCTCCTCGTCGCTGTCGGTCAATTCGACCGCCACCACACCGCTGTTCTGGTGGAACAGTTCGTTCAGTATATTATGTCGGGCAGTTGAATCGTTGGCGAACAGCAGCTCCAGTTTCTGTTGCGTCGACTTGTCCTGATCCTGGAAATAAATTATTTCGACTATAAGAAATGACAATAAATCAATTTATTTCCAGGATCAGGAAATATCGGTTAGTCATAAGTTGACTTTTCTATGTAATATTATTTGTATACTAGCATAAGAATACTGATGGACCTTGGTTTTTAAAATAAAATAAATATTAAAAAAAAGAAGAGAAATATTTTGTGATATATTTAATAAATATATAAAAATAATAATTGTTGATATCAATAGTAAATATATATTATCTGTACAATATATATTATTGGATTTACATAACATTGAGATTTTTTACCTGTTCCTTCACTTCTTTCTCGATCTTTTCTACCAAAATATTTTCCTCAGGTGCATAATTTTCGTCCAGTGGCCGATACAGCGTCGCGCTGACGCATACGTGCAGCATGCAACCGCCCAGCAGCAATATCGTACCGTGGAAACCGAAGTCTTTGACCAGAAATTCGATCAGAAGCGGGAATACGAAGCTACCCGCGGCAGTGCCGGACACGCAGATTCCATTCGCCAGTGCACGATGCTTGTCGAAGTATTGCGATACCAGGATTATACCCGGCGTCGTAGACAAACCACCGCCGATACCTATGAAGGTATTTTTTTCTCAATATTTATGCGATAACGTAAGACAAAATGTCTTTCGATGAACGCGAGAAAACGTATAATTCAAATTTAACAAACCTGTCAGCACTCCAAATGTAAAAAGAGATGTATCAATCGCGTGGCAAAGTAACTAGTTGTAAGTCCTAGAGCGCAGAAAAGTCCTCCCACAAAAACCACTGTTCGACAACTGTATTTCTGACAGAGCATACTTGTTACCGGAGCTGCGAAATATCGATGTTTATTAGTGTAAAAGAAAACAATATATTGGTGTGTTAGATTCTAAATAATTTCAAGATCATAACAAAACGGAATAGAGTTTTTACAATGAAGACGATTTACCGAGCGCTAGACATAGGCACGTCAGAATAGCTGGTATCCAGGACGCGACCGAGGCAGACGAGTCCTTGAAGGTCTCCATGACCTCGACGTAGAGCACACCGTAAGACTTGACTAACCCGGTCACCCAAAACTGCACGAAGAAGGCGCCGAACACCACCACCCAGCCGTAACCACCATCCAGGGGAACATACGTAGTATTTCGGGGTTTCCTGCTCTCGTTTTTCTGTCGGGATTTTCTCCTTTTGGGGCTATACACTTGACGGACCTAAACCGACATTCGGAACGTTATTCAAACGAATACTATTCGCCAATTTTACACAAAACACAATACTATTGCGATATAATACACTGCACATAATACACAACTGGTTTTTTTTTTTTTTTCTATTTAACTGTACGATTCTGTGTATAAATGATACATCTCTTTGGAAAACTCTAAGATGTGATAATAGCAAAAAATTTAAGAATAAATTATTCTATAAACGCGATAAAATTCTTAAGCGTAAAGTAGAAATGATATCCGTAGAGATAAAAGAAAATTTGTTTCATATTTAGGAAGAAAATCCTATTAACTTAAGAGAAATGAATCAGCGCATAGAAGCTTATCAGAACAAAAGTTTGAAAAATACTTTTTCGATAGTATTATTAATCCTTAATTATTAATCAGCGGTCTTATCTTCCCGATACCTGATTCTCATAACACCCCGAATATTCGCTCCGACACCGACCTGAGCTCCCTAGATTTAGCGATGAGCGGCCGGGCAGTGAGGCTGGATATCGTCAGCAAGTTGTCATTGTCTTCGTCCTCGATGAAGGTGCCTTCAGGACTCTGCAGATGCGGCGGCACAACTGGGGTCGACGTCGCCGTCGCCTGGACCGCCAAGGATCCTGGTCGCTTCGGCGACGGTGCCCCGGTGGCGACGCCACTCAGGTCGAACACCGGTGCTGAATGGATAGAGAACAGCGAGCCTAGCTGCGTCGCCGGTTGATCATTCATATTCTCGTCGATGACCGTGCTGCTGCCCGCGATGACCATCTCCTGGGACGACACTGCCGTTGCGACGACGCCGACGTCGGCGTCCGCCAGGAGGCTCGACGCCCGACACGCATCCTGAAAGCTCCATTCCCGTGGTAGCGACATGTTTCCTCGGCGGCTTCCTCGGCGGAACCGGGGGGACCGTAATACATTGGATTATGTTACTTGGTTGGTCGCGCGTGGTTTACTTGTACTTTGGTCTCTTCTCTTCTGATCGTCGACGATCCCTCGAGCCTTTTTCTCGGTTCCTCTTCACACCAGATTCACCTGCTCCTCCACTGAATGGAGAACGAATGTATCTTTTGGTCTGGTAAACGATATTCACCCCTAGTTAGTGGTGTTGTTTAAAACAAGGCAACCTTTTTTCTCTTTCCTTTTCCTTCGGCTATAATTCCTCGAGCCCCTGGATGGGGCTTTGGTGCTTCTTTAATTGGTGTTTGAGGATAAGCTGAATGAACAGGAGCAGGTGAAAAAGTCAACGCGATCAGGACCCTCTTGTTTAATTACCAAAACACTTCCCCCGACCTTGTAGAGTAGACTAAGGTTCTCGATGAACACACGGTGAGTTCGCAGGGGGTGCGCACGCAGTCTGTGTGGTGGAGGGTTGCCACTAACTGGAAATTTACAGTAGGATCGATACACGTCGGCTATGCTGACGTGCAATCTTCGCGGAAATCACCCACGACCCACGTGCGAACGCACTGACAGAGGAAAAACCGCGTACTCTATATGTATATAAAATGAATGCGAAACAAAAATCTATCGTTTTTTCGGCCAACACAAAACTGGGTTACATGCATATGGAAAAATACAAAGTTTTGCAATAAAGAGAGAAAATAAGTCAATCTATGTTATAAACACCTTACATATAGAGCGTTAGCAACCGGAATGTTGGCAATTGGGTGAAACTTGATTCTCTGTCGAGAAAATAAAAATTACTTGGATAAACACAAAACTGTATCTCGATATAATATATTATATCCAAATAGGAATTCGAAGCTTTTTAATAAAGGGAAGAATGATAAATCATATTATGCTTGAAACATCTTGTATATAAGTTTCACCCAATCTGTACTTTGATTACATTCCAAGAAAATAAAAATTGCTTAAATATAATATTATTATATTCATATTTATTTATATAGAAGTGCAAAACTTTATATATTGAAAGAAGGTATAACAAATCATCATGTTTGCAACACTTTGCATGGAATGTCAGTAATTGGACAAATTTTGAGATTGTTCCGAGAAAATATTTCAATATTTATTACAAAAGAAAGCTGTAAGAAATTTTGTAAACAAAATTATCGTTTTTTAATGTGATATGTAACGTTTAATTATCATAAAATATTTATTAAATAAGAATTTTAAATAAGAATGACGTGAATGTGAACATATTGTATAATTAATGCGACGAATGTCGATTCATTAGTATTGCATTGATAATTGTACGAAAATTTGTCATTTTATTATTTAAATTAACTTGATATTCCTTGATATTTCGATTGATGTAAGATCGCTCGAAATTTTTTGAAATCCTTATCATTTATAGAGTCACTCTTCGCATTGCGGTTCAATTTGTCTCCTTGATATCGACCTTCGCTCATCGTTACGTCATCTAGCGTGCACAGTTCGTCCTCGATTGCTGTAATTATCTAATAGCAATTATAGAGAAAACGCAGGGATGATTGTGTTTCACGAATTGCTGCAACCGAATGTAATTCAAATCATTAGGTCGAAAAAAATGTTTATATGCTATTAATTATTATTATTATTATTAATTAGTTTAATATTATTGTGTAATTTTGTCGAAAAAAGATCAAGACTATCTCATCAATTTGTAGCTCTCAAAATAATGCGTCAGAATTGCTTGTGAGATAAATCTTGTATAGTAAATTTATAAAGCACACAGTCACGACAATAGATATAACAATATTGATAATAAATAGTAGAACATATCGTTTTGCGACACTTAGCTCGATCCGCTCCGTTTGAATTTGGCGATTTCTCAATAATCAAACCCCCTGTGAGGAGAGTAACTTCTACGCGCAGCATCCGACTGGATCGATGACAAATCTGTGACTACATCCCTCGCTCGCGCTCGCGCTTTATCTCGAGGCATTAGTACTTGGGCTGTTCCACGGTACACTTTCCTTGGGTGCGGATCGGTTTTGATATGTGACAAATAGTAGATCCCGATTGGATCCTTGGAGATCCGTCTCGCCCAGAGAATCGGATGAGAAGTTCAAGATAGGGCGTATATTATAAAGTGTCGAGAAATATACGTGAGTGAAAGCAGTTTCATCCTAAAATGCATGAATTGCAATTTAAATTAGTGAAATTGTCAATAAAATATATTTATTATTTTCAAATATATGCATATTCGTACAATGTGTAAGAGAGTAAATTATTTATGATAAATTATTGAAGGATTATATAAGTTATTATATTTGAATATAAATATACATAAAAACGAAGACGAGAAAAATTTATATAGTGGGATGAAATATTAGTGTATTTTTGTTTGGCGTTACAGAAATGTAAATAGCTTTTATCGAAAAATGGGCGGAGGCTGTTTAACGTAGAGGAGAATACAAACTTTCGTCGATAATTTAGTTAATCTTAGTAATAAATAAAATACAGCGAAGAAATATTATTTATAATTGAGTGAGTTTTATACACATTTATGTTTATAAAAAGAAAGCTGACATAAATGTTTTCTAACTTATTGTTAGACAAGTGTTATATTAAAATATAAAACAATATTTATTTATTTTTAATTAAAATAACACATAAAAGAATAAATTAAAACAAATACATTAAAAGATTACGATTGTTATTAATTGACTGTCGATTGCTTGATATTTATCGCTTATTACATATTATACATGATATACTTTCATTGTAATAAATTAAAATTAACTTAAAAGGCGTTAAATGTCAAATTCTTGAGGATTATACGTACGTAATGATTTACAAAAATTGCATTAATAATTCATCGATTTATTTTGTGGATATCCTTATTACAGGTGACTGCACAATGAAGAAATTGCACGTAAGGACTGTGCTATCACTCATCTTTATTATTTTACACAACGCTCCGCGTTTAGGACTTGCCATTGCCAAGTCATCGAACTACAATAATCCAAGTTTTTTCAAGATTGGCGGTGTCCTTTCCAACAATGCGAGTAAAGCGCACTTCGCAACTACGGTCGACGTAAGAGATAGATTATAATTAATAAAATTTTGATAAATTATCTTAAAAAAATAGTAAATGTAATACATGTATAACATGTAATATAAATATATCATACACATACATATATCTTAAATCATATATTTAATAAGTATTAATAATTTAAAATTATAATTTGAATGGAAAATATCTATAATAATGTCCAAAATACAGTTACAACAACAACAATATTATTATTAACTGTATTTTTGAAGTAGATTTTATAATATAGATTTTTTTATATATATTATATACAACACACGACTCGTGTGTATTGTATCTGACATATTCAACATTATGTATAGATATAGCATACATATATGTATATGTATGTATCTTTATGTATGTTTCAGAATCTCAATTTCAATTTCCAATACGTCAATAAAGGGGTCATATTTAAGCATACGGTAATTGAGATGGATTCCAACCCGATCCGAACTGCACTAAGCGTTTGCAAATCTTTGATAGCTGAACAGGTGTACGCGGTAGTAGTGTCACATCCGCTTATCGGTGACTTGTCACCGGCTGCGGTTTCCTATACCAGTGGCTTTTATCACATACCAGTGATTGGCATATCGTCCAGGGATTCCGCCTTCTCGGACAAAGTATGCAAGATAATCTGTTTAATATAATCTGATCTACATTATAAATATAATAGGAGCAATGCTCTAGAGAGCAATGTGTGATTTATATCGCGAAAATAAATCATTATAAATATGTAAAAAAAAGAATTTAATATTTTAGAATATAAATATGATGTTTTTTAAATCGGCCAACAGAGCCAAAGCACGAAAAATTAATTATTCGGAACTGCATCTCTTGGTTTGAGATCACTAATTGTAAGTTCCATATATAAATTAATCTCGAAACTTACATATGGAGAAATAGGCGCGAAAAATATAGGTCCGAAAAGTTGCTGAAGCGGGAATATGTAAGTTTCGAGATTAATTTATATATGGAACTTAGTGATCTCAAACCAAGGGATACAGTTCCGAATAATTAATTTTTCGTGCTTTGGCTCTGTTGGCCGATTTAAAAAACATCATTTATATTCATAATATTGAGAGCCGATAAAAATATTTCTTAATATTTTAGATTTTAGATTTTCTTTTTTGCACAACAATGCTCTCCAAAAAGATGAAAATTTTAAGAATTGAGAAATTCATGTTATTAGATTCATTTTTTATTATACAATAGTGTTATATTATTTAATAAACAAAATTGTATATATAGCAATGTCTTTGCAGAATATCCACGTCTCATTTTTGCGCACTGTACCACCGTATTCGCATCAGGCAGATGTCTGGGTGGAATTGTTGAAGCATTTCAACTATATGAAGATTATCTTTATCCACAGCTCTGATACAGATGGTCGAGCACTCCTCGGACGTTTTCAGACAACGTCGCAAAATTTAGAAGATGATGTAGAAATCAAAGTGATCGTATGTTGCATCAAGTGTACAAAAAAGAATATATATTATTGTATGCTATTAGATCATTATTTCAGGTTGAATCAATTATCGAGTTTGAACCGGGATTGGACAACTTTTTGGAGCAATTGATGGAGATGAAAGGCGCACAAGCGAGAGTTTGTCTCATGTATGCTTCGTAAGTATTCACCATAATTTTTAACATTTACTTAGGAACTGTAATGGAAATAAAAAGAAATGTTAGTTTATAATATAAAATATAAATTATTTGTGATTTTTATTGTAATTATATAATATAAATAGTAATAATCTCTAACTGCATAGCATTAAGTATTACGATGTACAGCTTATTTTCATATTTTAATTCTTAATCCTTTAATTTGAAGCAATAATTTTGACTTTGAATAATCTTGATTTGTTGCGAAAATATTTAAATAAATTTGTAAATGTTCTTGGATAGGAAAACGGATGCAAGAGTGATCTTCAGGGATGCTGCCGCTTTGAATATGACTGGTGCAGGCTATGTGTGGATCGTTACCGAGCAGGCATTGGACGCACCGAATGCGCCAGAGGGCTTATTAGGATTAAAGTTAATTAATGCCACTCAAGAGAAATTACACATCACCGATAGTTTGTTAGTATCTTCGACATATCCAATATTTTTATCGTGTTATAATTCTGATGACAAATTCTTTACTTTATTCGAAATCGTTTTTCTTGAATTGAAGTTAAAGAATTTCTCTCGTAAATCTTTAATCGAGAGCTAGTCTTACTTCAAAGAAGTTTTATATTGTTAATAAAAAGTTTATCTCCTTTTTTAATTTATTACAGACACGTACTCGTATCTGCCTTACGAGCGATGAATGAGACAGAAAAAATCACCGAGGCGCCAAAAGATTGTAGCGATTCCGGTTTTATATGGGAAACTGGCAAAAACCTTTTCCAGTATGATCTCTCGTCTTTTTTATGACTCGACTTAAGTTTTTAATAAATATAACAACAAAATTCTAATAAATATTTAATAGTGGAATCTGTTATTAAGATTACTGTTGTATTATTATTTCTTTGAATTAGATACATTCGCAAGGAAGTACGATCACAGGGTTCAACAGGTCGAGTTGCATTCGACGATAATGGTGATCGTATATTCGCCGAGTACGACATAGTCAACATTCAGTATGCAAGTCCAGACAATAAGACGCAAGTGTCTGTCGGCCAGTATTTTTATCCTGCTGTGAGTAAATAATTCCAACAGTGATTTTTATCATTTTTACAATTTTATCTCAATTGAATAAAAGATATTTGTACAATAACGAATAACAGCTACACGTTATTAAATATATCTGATAAACAAATAATGTTATATTTCTACAAATAACAAGATAGCTTTACAAATGTAACATGATATTATTTTGGCACATACCGTCACACACTATCATATTTTTTATAAATGTAACAGAATGGTACTAAGATGAAGTTGCGAGTGAACGAATCCAACATCATATGGCCTGGTCGTTTGAAGACTAAACCCGAGGGTTTCATGATACCGACGCATCTGAAGGTGCTGACGATCGAGGAGAAGCCGTTCGTTTATGTTCGCGAATTAGTCGATGGAGAGACCAAATGCATGGTCGAGGAAATCGCGTGTCCTCATTTCAACACAACAGATGGTGAAAGTACGTTGCTCTTATTTAACAGAATAACAAGTTTTCTTTCTAACAAATCTTCCTTTAATTGTTAACATTTTTATTAAGGCATATAAAGAACCGTCAATAGTAAGACATGTTTTAAAATTTATATTTTTTTGTAAAATAGATTAATAATTTATCTTTTTCATTTGCAGATACACGGATGTTTTGTTGTAAAGGATACTGTATAGATTTATTAAAAGAATTATCGAAAATGATCAATTTCACATACAGCTTGGCTCTGTCGCCTGATGGTCAGTTTGGCAGTTACATGATCAAAAACAGTTCAAGTGAGTAATTGAATTAGAATTGCGATACATAGTACATATACGTGAGAAAAAAAAACATTTTAATATATAAAAGATTTAAAACATAGCTCGTATACAGGGTGTCCCAGAACTAACGGAAAAGTTTTTAATGGCAGATTCCTAGTATTATTCGGAAACGATTTTTCTTCAGCAAAAATGTTGAGACACCAATAATTTTCGAATTATAAGCAGTTGAAAATAAAGTCTTTTTTGAAAACTAAGCCTTGTGGAAATAAAATATTAACAAAACTACATTTTTCAGTTAATTTTAGGCAGAGTTTGCTTTAATAGAATTTTAATATAAGGCTTAATTATAAAGATACATAATTATAAAGATACATAATAACAACAATTAGGAACATGCTAAAAATGATGGCCTTCCTCAACATTTTTACTAAGGAAAAGTCGTCTCCAAATGATACCAGGATTCTGCCATTAAAAACTTTTCCACCAGTTCTGGGACACTATATATATATATATATATAGATAGATAGATAGATAGATAGATAGATAGATAGATAGATAGATATAGATAGATAGATTCATTATTATTTAGTTTGTAAATTCTTATTTTTAAGCATCGAGAAATTAATAATTCTAATTATTATTTTTTTTCATTTTCCATCTTTCGTATTTCACCGATGTAGTCGGAGGAAGGAAAGAATGGACTGGTCTTATCGGCGAGATAGTAAACGAGCGGGCCGACATGATCGTTGCACCGTTGACAATCAATCCCGAACGTGCCGAGTTTATCGAATTTAGTAAACCATTTAAATATCAAGGGATCACTATTCTCGAAAAGAAGGTATGTTCTACCTGGAAGTAATTTTGAATTATATTAATATTACATCTTAAATCAAACGAAAAATAATCTAAAAACAAGCGTTTTATTTAAAAATTAAGACTAAAAGTATTTTTATAAATATTTTTAAATTATTATAAATGAAGATATATTTTATAAAAAGATAAATTTTTATAATACAATAATCATAATAATATATTGTTATTCTTTTACTTGTAGCATTTCAAAGTAAACTAAAATTAAAATTTTTATAAATCCTTTTTTTTTACTAAATAATTTCATAAATTATTTTATACAACAATAAATATATATATTAAGCGAGATTTTAATTAATTCAGCCTTCAAGATCGTCTACTCTGGTTTCCTTCTTACAACCGTTCAGCAATACCCTTTGGATTTTGGTGATGGTATCGGTGCATGTAGTGGCACTGGTTTTGTATTTGCTAGATCGATTTTCACCCTTCGGTAGATTCAAATTAGCGAACACCGATGGTACTGAAGAAGATGCTCTCAATCTATCCAGTGCTATCTGGTTCGCTTGGGGCGTATTATTAAACAGCGGTATAGGGGAAGGTAAACGTATATTCTTCCCTTTTTCTTTTGTTTATTTAACCGAATATTACTTGGAGAAGCTTAGAAAAAAATTGACTCTATGTTCAAAGTTTGAATCAAAGGATATCTTGAAAATTGATTCTCGCATATTACACATATTGCTATCTCAATCGATTAATTAAATTTACAGGCACTCCACGAAGTTTTTCTGCGCGCGTATTAGGAATGGTGTGGGCCGGATTCGCTATGATCATTGTTGCATCGTACACTGCTAATTTAGCTGCGTTCCTCGTTTTGGAACGACCTAAGACTAAACTCACCGGCATCAATGACGCTCGAGTGAGAATAATTTTATTAATTTTATTAATTGTTTCCTAAAAGTAAATGCACTGGAAATAAAACAAACGTATTAGTGAATAATTTAATGTATAAATACGTGTGACATTTGTGTTTGTATAAAGCTCAGAAATACGATGGAGAATTTGACATGCGCGACAGTGAAGGGCTCCGCCGTGGATATGTATTTCAGACGCCAGGTAGAATTGTCCAACATGTATCGCACGATGGAGGCGAATAATTATGACACTGCCGAAGAAGCGATTCACGATATTAAAATCGGGTGAATACTTCTAGATTGTTGATTTAACGCGTTAAAATTATTAAACATCTTTGCATCTTTAAAATCTTGAATCTTACATTGTTTTAATTTCATATACTATGCAAAATAATTATCTGAAAAAAAAATAAAATCTTAAATTAATAATAGAATGTTATTCAATATATTTTCAATATATTTTTTTAAAAATATTCTTATTATTAATAATAGAATGTTATTCAATATATTTTTTTATTTTATATTTTCTGATTAAATAATCACGTTATTTCTTTTTCAGAAAATTAATGGCTTTCATTTGGGATAGCTCGCGATTGGAATTTGAAGCTGCTCAAGATTGTGAGCTGGTGACAGCTGGTGAACTATTTGGTCGCTCAGGTTACGGGATTGGTTTACAGAAAGGGTCACCCTGGGCAGATGCAGTGACATTAGCGATCCTAGATTTTCATGAAAGTAAGCTCGCACTATATCGATGCTTTATTCTCGTTTTTAAATTTATTTCCTACGTAGTGAAATTCGTTCTTATAATATTTGTTATGTAATTTTTAATATTAATTTTTTTGGTATAAATATTATATCTATCTCTCCTTTACAACAAAAACTTCACATTAAATTGAATATACTAAATATCTAACACGTTAATGTGTATAATTATTTAATTTTTTTTCTAGGTGGTTTTATGGAAGGCCTTGACAATCTCTGGATTTTACACGGTAATGTGCAACAATGCGAACAGTTTGAGAAAACGCCAAACACCCTCGGTTTAGAGAACATGGCAGGGGTGTTTATTGTCGTTGGTGTTGGTATTGGTGGTGGAGTTGGTCTAATTATAATCGAGATGGTATACAAGAAACATCAAATACGCAAGCAAAGGAAAATGGAGCTAGCAAGACATGCTGCTGATAAGTGGCGAGGGATGATCGAGGTAATGTAATTAATTCAATCGTAATTGTAAATTGACAAAATCAATTTATTCAAATTATATACATTTTTTACAATCGAGATAATCAATTTATATTAAATTGATTAATGGTTTGGATCTATATATTCGTTCAAGCTCGCATTTGAAATTATTGCTTTCTCGTAAACTCATGAATGAAGCTTCAATGCTTTAATTATAAATTATGTGATTCGTACATTTTTGTACATCATTGTATTCTATCGTGAGCAGAAACGGAAAACTCTGCGAGCGTCAATTCAGAGCTGTCAGCGAAGGATCCAGAGCAATGGTCTGAATGATCCCGCGACAGTGAGTTTGGCGGTCGATACGGTTGCCAGGTCAAACGTAGGCTCGCGCAGTCCTGGTCGCGCCTGGCCAGGTGACAGCGACCTGAGACAACGGCCAATATCTCGCTCTGACGATATCCGATTATCGCCAGCCGCCTATACCGCCGACGTGTCGCACCTCATAGTCTAATCTCACATTAATTTGTAGTTTTTTACCGAATAAGAAGTATTGTGTCTTAACTGCTTCTAGTAGATTACAATAAGATATTTCCTCAGCAAAATATGAGGGTAAGGATATATTTAAAATGGTGGATGTATTTGAGATAATTAATCGTCCGCTCGTTAGATGTTTATAGAAGATTGCCATGAAATATCTTAAGAAAGTTTGTGAAATATATTTATTGTTATTGCATATAAAATGTTGGTTTGTATAAATCGTTGATTTTGTATAAATAATTTTCAAACAAGTTTCGAGAACATAAAATATATGTAATTAAAGAATTAATATTTTTATTAATTCTCTAATTAACGCGCAAATATTTGATTTATTTAATGTTAAAATGTAAAGAAGTTTATTTAAAAATTAGCCATTGGTATTTATTTGCTATAACAAGAAATACATATTTTATCGTAGTAATCACTGCGTAATGTTGCGAATTGTAAAAATATGTTGAAATATAATCGATATTTGTTTTATATAAGATACTTTTAGACCTAATTCTATTACAATTATCAGTATTAGTTATTTAACTATTTTATCAATACGACATATATATAAATTATTTGAAATGAGGAATTTAAATTGATATAAGATTTTTTTTGCACTTTTTTATATCTTGTTTTCTCTCTAAATTCTGAATATACATTTATTTCATTTTTAATATAAAAAGTGGGGACAATTTATATAATTTAATAACTATAATTAAACTAAATAAAATATTAGAGAAAAATAACTATTTTAAATACATTTTTATTAAATAATTCTGAAGTATTCTAAGTCATCTTACTTCAGATATATATTTGTTTATCAAGTTTGAACATAATTCAATTTAATTATGATAAATTAGTCTTACCCCTGTTACTGTGTTTATATTGTTGCTTACATAAAACTAAGCGTTGATATAGGATATGGATAAATATTCCAATAAGTTCAATGAATGGGTAAGAACTATTAAATCACTTTCCAAAAAATTCACCTGATCGATAACAAAGCTAACGATATATACTGTCGTAGGTGACGGAAATGAAGACGTAACTGAAGGGTATGCTGAGGGATATCCTGATGTGGAAGCAGAATAATCTGTAGATGGATCTGAAGGACTTGGATTTTACTACACAGTGGACGCACTAGCACTAGCCGAACTCGAGGCAGTTGCAAAGCTCGAGATGCCAGCTGGTTCACTCAACTTCACCACGCCGATTGCCGGAAAACTGGGAAAACCATTTAAAAGACCTGAAGAACCACCCAACTGAACAGCAGACTGTGAGATGGCGCCTATATTGGGCGCAGCTGACGTTCCAACAGCAGCTCCTTGTTCGTATGGTGGTAAGTACGTTGGTCCAGGTGTTGATACTGAAGGTGGTAAATATGTAGCAGGCGGACGCGTAGGTCGTGGTGGCGGTGGTGGTGCCGGTGGTCGTGGTCTAGGTGGAGGTAGATATGTACGGCGTGTAGGAGGTGGTGGAGGAGAGAAGGGGGTGGTCCATATGTTGGTGGCGGTGGCGGTGGTGGTGGAGGAGGAGAAGGGGGTGGTCCATATGTTGGTGGCGGTGGCGGTGGTGGTGGAGGAGGAGATGGGGGTGGTCCATATGTTGGTGGCGGTGGCGGTGGTGGTGGAGGAGGAGAAGGGGGTGGTCCATATGTTGGTGGCGGTGGTGGTGGTGGTGGTGGTGGTGGCGGTGGCGGTGGTGGTGGCGGTGGTGGTGGCGGTGGTGGTGGCGGCGCGCGGCGGCGGCGGTGGCGGTGGCGGTGGCGAAGGAGGAGGTATGTATGTTGGTGGAGGGGGTGGTGGCGGTGGAGGGGGAGGTGGTGGTGGTGGTGGCGGCGGAGGAGGGGGAGGTGGTGGTGGTGGTGGCGGAGGAGGAGGTGGTGGTGGTGGCGGAGGAGGTGGCGGTGGTGGTGGTGGAATGTAAGTCGGTGGTGGTGGCGGGGGCGGGGGCGGTGGCGGCGGCGGCGGCGGCGGTGGTGGTGGTGGTGGTGGTGGTGGTGGTGGGTGGTGGTGGTGGTGGTGGTGGTGGTGGTGGTGGTGGTGGAGGGTAAGAGTAACTAGGTGGGGATGGTGGTGGTGGTGGTGGTGGTGGTGGTGGTGGTGGTGGAGTAGGGTAAGAGTAACTAGGTGGGGATGGTGGTGGTGGTGGTGGTGGTGGTGGTGGGTGGTGGTGGTGGTGGTGGTGGTGGTGGTGGTGGTGGCGGTGGCGGCGGCGGCGGCGGAGGTGGAGGCGGAGGCGGCGGAGGGGTGGAGGTGGTGTAGGGTAAGAATAACTAGGTGGTGATGGTGGAGGTGGCGGAGGTGGTGGTGGCGGAGGCGGAGGGGGTGGCGGCGGCGGTAGAGGTGGTGGTGGAGGTGGTGGTGGTGCAGGATAAGAATAACTAGGTGGGGATGGTGGTGGTGGCGGAGGTGGACGCGGAGGGAATGGCGACGGCGGTGGAGATGGTGGTGGTGCAGGATAAGAATAACTAGGTGGGGATGGCGGAGGGGGTGGCGGTGGTGGTGGTGGTGGTGGGCGGCGGCGGCGGCGGTGGCGGTGGTGGTGGCGGTGGTGGTGGTGGCGGTGGCGGTGGCGGAAGTGATGGTGGTGGTGCAGGGTAAGAATAACTAGGTAGAGATGGCGGTGGCGGAGGTGGTGGAGGTGGTGGTGGCGGCGGAGGAGGTGGTGGAGGAGGTATTCGAGAAGGAGGTGGTGGTGGAGGAGGTGGTCGAGAAGGAGGTGGTATGTATGTCGGTCGAGGGGGTGGCGGTGGAGGTGGAGGTGGAGGTGGAGGTGGAGGTGGAGGTGGAGGTGGAGGTGGAGGTGGAGGTGGAGGTGGAGGTGGAGGTGGCGGTGGCGGTGGCGGTGGCGGTGGCGGTGGCGGTGGCGGTGGCGGTGGAGCAGGGTAAGAATAACTAGGTTGAGATGCTGGATATCCTTGTTGACTGCCTCTTTCCGTTGGTAACGAAAAGGGCACGCTAGGTCGTTGATAAGAGTATCCTGCTTGGCGAACGACGCGCGACCAATGTGCGTCGACGCAATGGATCACCAATAAGCTGTATATTACCTAAGAATTATAAGAGTATGTTGTAATATTGGAATGGAAGAATGTTATGGTATAGCAATACTAAAACAACTTACCCATTTTGATGACAGCATAAGCATTTCGTGTATGCTAGCGGGTGCTACAAGAGAGTCGCTTTTATACAAATGTTTTGCATTGTCTGATTTATTTTTTATGCTCTACCTGATGACATTTAATTCATTTAATAGTATTCCATTAACTCAAGTGGTAGTTACAGCTTATTAAATCTTGTATTACATTTACCGCGAAATTGCAGATTTTAAGTAGGACGATGTTGAATTTCTTTTTCTTTTTACAAGAAAGATTCATTTCAACTTGATGTGTTGAAATAAAGCTACTATTTAGCTAGAATAATATAAGTATAGAATGCACAAGTATTTTTTTCGTTTCATAATCATTTAGACATTTTATTAATTTTTATATACACAAATGTGCAGAGTGATACAAATCATATAATATTATAAGTTCAGACATATATATGTATTTATCACGTTTAAAAATTTTAAATAATATTAATAGATGAATAATTTAGATATTATGTGTCGACATATTAGACTATTCTTCTCTAATTTATAAATTAACGAGCTTATTTATTCATTTAATTTATATGTAGACTATTCTTTTGATGACATTATTTTCTTATATTATTATATGCATTTTACATATGGTACTACATAAATAGTACCATATGTTATTATACAAACAGTATCATATGGTATTGCTAAAATAATATTGATAAAATATTCTCTTCATACCTGTATTTTTTAATATCGCATATTTTGCTTTTAAATATAATTATTTAAAGAAGAAACTATATGTTTTTGGCATGGCTGTTATTTATTGCAAAAACTCAATTAAAATGCAGACAAATAATAAGTTAGTATATAATGAGAGAAAAAGACTTCTGAAAATAGTTATCCCAAAAGTAGAAGTGGCAGAGTTGCAAGATTATAATAATATGCGCACATTGCGCTTATCCTATTTGTGATTATTCTTTGGGAGCACATATTTGAAAAATTATTTTAAAATAATATATACTTAAAAAATATCAATAATTAATTAAATTTAAAAAATTGAATTTCAATATTAAACATTACTTATTTCCAAAAATAGAAAAAAGATTACATTAATAAGATATGTGCGCAATTATTTTTATTTGCTATTTGAAATAATAAGAAAAATCGAAATATATTTAACGTTTGTCTTTTTATTTGTGAACGAGTAGGATAAATAGAGTGGAAATAATAAGGGTTGGAAATAAGTATTTCATTACATCAATTTTTTTGTTTTATTTTTCAGAAATTTTACATGGTAGGTGGCTGACATATGAACCAGCTGTTTTTTACAAGTATAAAAAATATTGAGTCATAAGAACATCGAAAATAGAAAATTATCTCTATATAATCAATAGATCATCAATTGTTAACAATTTCCTTTTGTATGCGTGAGATTTATTTTTAAATTCTATAATTTTTACTTGATTATAATTTTTATATAATTTTTGTTGTAAATTTTTTATCGAAGTGATTAATTTGCTTGCATTTTATTAATCAATTTTCTGGAATTTATGGAATTTAGACAGTTATATTTCTTTCATAATTACTAACATTATTTTTCAACTAAAATTGTAAAACAATAATTTGAAAAAAGCAAACGTTGCCTTAATAATAATTTTGTTGAAAAGCTGATGATATTATTTTTCTCTTTAAATTTTATATATTTATAAAAATAAAGTGCGCTTCAAATATATTTGTTTTTGTACAATCCAATATCATAGACATTTTATAATATTCTGAACTTGCGTTCTAAAAGTTATCGAACTCAATGAAATTTTACATTAGACTTGTTTTACAACTCGTTCAAATCACAGATTTAATTGGATAAATTCTAGTTTAATTTGATTTAATGTCGCTTTTGAAGATAAAATGATTCAGAGCCAAATCCATAGAGGAGTAACGCTATCGAAATTGAAAAGATCGGGCTGGCCGACGTGCGAGACATTGGGAAAAGTTTTCGACCATTGGAAGAATGGTTGGGAGCCTAGTGTGCTTGGTCCAGAAATGGCTTCGAAGGTTTCTATACCGTTTATGTCAGCCAACACGATCTTTGCATCAATTACACCAAATGGTTGAGTTACTTCTTTAAGATCTCCTCTATAAGTCGTAATCCACGCCTGTTCCTCGTTTTCGGTGGTAGGTGTCTCGTGATTGTATCCTCGCATGAGCCTCCTAAACTGCTCCATTGTAGTGACGTTTGTTTGTAATCTCGCATTCAGCTCGCTCTTTGCCATCTCATAAGAATTTTCATCGGTCTCGTTGAACGTTATATCGTTTTTGTACAGATTACTAGTGCTCCAAACGGCACCGGTGATGGCAAAGTGTTTGTTGATAAGTCTTTTACGAATGATTCCCGGCATTTGTTTGATAAGCCAAATAGTACCAAAGCGTGGTTCTAAAGTGATCCATTGCCACCCTACATCGACATCATTATCATTCAGAAATATGTCATCAAACCAGTGTTGCCCGTTAGTCTTCAGACGATTCGCCGTCATTACCTTCACGGATGACATCACCTGTTGAGTAAAAAAATAAATGCAATCTCTTGATTTTTAATATACCCCAATTAAAGTCAATAAAAGAACGGATCTAAAATTGTATGAAATTTTATCGTAAATTATCGTTTCAGACATTTGGAATGAATTAAAAATTTATAGAGATCAAAGTGAAGTTTTGCTCACCTGATGTTTTGCATTTGTAAAATTCAACAGACTGCGCTTAGTGACTGTCCACGGCGTCCCGGCAACAATTAATTCATGATTCTGACCTTGGATTAAATAAAATTCATCATGGGACGACAGAGCACCAGGATAAGATGACATTACGATGGATCTGCCTGGCACTAGTGCAGAAGTCTTTGGTAATACGTGGTAACCAAAAGTGTATTTTTTTAACAGTCTCAGCATCTTACCGTACCTGTAAGAGAAGAAATGGCTCACAATATATCAAAGGTAATCAAGCAATTAATTTATTGATATTAATACACGATAGTATACTCACACTTCTTATCCTTGCAGCGAATAAATATGGAAATTATGAATTATTCTTAAATATTTATTCTTAAATTCTAGTGTAAATATATTAATTTCTATTACATGCACATACCTATACATGTTTTAACATCTGTTTTAAATAAATTTTATATTCATATAAAATTAAAATAAATTAAATCAACAGACAAGATATATATTTACTTTTACAAAAACTTTTTTAGTAGTAGATAATTTCATTTTATACTTTTAATTTTTTTGGTGATAATTTATGAAGCAATTAAAAGTAATTAATTCATATTATAATTCATATCAATTCATTATTGCACATTTAATTCACACGTATAATACATAGATATAATAATAAAATTTCTTTAAAATATTATTTTATATTCTTTCTTATGCGGTAATAATTTACTTACAGGTTTTAATGTTATTATTTTTATAATTTTTTAAAAGACTATTTTTAAATAACAAGATTAAATTTTTATTAAACTCAAAATTTAATTAAAGAGCTTAAATTGATAGAAAATAATAATTAAATGTAATATAATTATTATGATGTAATAAAAGTGATAATTAAATTACCGTTAATAAATTATAAAAGTTATATGTATTTAGAAATCAATAATTAGAGTATAAAGATTTAAAAAAGTATAAAGAATTAAATAAATTTTGAATATGATATCCTTTTAATATCTCTGTCAGAATCATAATAGGAATCATAATTACGTTAAAATATTCTTAAGAAAACGTTTATGACACAATAGTAAGAAATTTTCGCCATGTTCTGTTGTCTGAATATAAACATTAATTATTTACGCAATATTTCTAAGATGTTTCTCTCTAAGATGTATATATCTAAATACTTGTGGGATGAATATTTCTAGGATGTATTTCCAAAATAATTTATTTTATAATGTAATATTTCTAAAAAATAACTACTACTTACGGTGCAATGGTTGTGTGCCCAATAGCTATCAATGGCTCTAGTCCTTCGCGAGGTAGACTTTTAAGGAAAATCATGCCTTTGGTGAATTTGCTTTGAGAATCGGAATCATTTAGCATTTGCTCGAGATCCGGTAGATCTGCAGCCATTGCCAGTAAGAGGAAATGTTCCGTGTCCATTTTTACTGTCTGTCGACTACGACGAACCGCATATTTCCAACCAGCCTCCAGACCGTCCAATTGAATATAGAATAGTCGTACCTGACGAAAGACGTGTAAATGTTTTCGAATTCGTGAAAATAAATTTCAAATATTTTATTTGATTCATGTCAATCGAGACATTCGCTTTCATTAATTATTGGCTGGTCTCTTTTTATTATAAAAAACAATAAAAATAAAGAAAAAAATGAATATATATAATTATTAAAAAATTTCAGCACAAAGAAAAATAAGTCTATTAAGTAAACATTTCGTTGATATTTCAGAAAATAATTTAAATATTTATTGTAGCATATTAAAAATTTCAAGTATTATTTTTTTCAATTTACCATATGCCAAAATGGATCTCTAGCTGCCAAAAGTTCAGCACGTTCGCGAATGATAACGGTGTTTTTGCGAAAGAATTCCATCAATTTTGAACACTCGAAAGTCTTTTTCTCGCAAACGACGTTGATAGTATTGTACCAATGATGATAGATCAATTGCCACGTTAAGCTACCTTCCAACAAACCGGCTGCGTAAGCTTGTACGGAGTCAGGATATTTGGATGATGTTTCTATTTCGATGCTGGACCATCTGAAATGTATCGTGATTCGTCATGCTTGTTTTAATTTTTCCATATCACAATATCTATAAAATATTCTGATTTGGCGTGGTATGAGCTTCATAGATTTTAAGATTTATACGTTAAAAAATATTTTTTATAAGATTAATTATAGAATATAAATAACGTAATAAAATTGCATTTTATTATTAGAATCTATCCAATCATTTTAATCCAAGAAAATTAGAACTTATTAAGATCGTGTTTTTTATGTATAGAAATAAATCACTAAGTATGCTACTTTATAAACGTTTAAAGATACGTTTAAAGATAGCCTGCTTCAGGGTTCGTGTACTTTAACGGCGCCGGGAATATCTCAAAAGAGACACGGACTGTAGATTTTCTCTATTTAATGACATTGACCTACCCGGATTCGAAGATGCTGGTCTTGTAGTAGGCACGGGCGACATTCAATTGCACGTTGGCGAGGTCGTTGCCTTGGCCCCAAAACTCAATGTGATATCCTCCCTTGTGATTCCACGACACAGTAGCCGAATAGATTCCATCTTTCTCAACACTAATGCAAAAACATTAATGGAAATTTTATTATAAAAATTTTGTTGGCAAAAATTTTATTTATTTATTTTGTAATATTCAACGTTATTTTTTGTTCAGGTTTGACGACGTAATTGAAACAATTTTACTTACTGTAAAAAATCGAATTCACTAAGGATGATCACGCCGATGCCCATGAGAACAACGGCTATAAGGATGTAGCTGGAAATGCGCGTCTGCAGCCACGAGGCTCCGACCACCTTCAGCATGGCTCATAGGTAAGCTGCACACCTTATGTACAAAAAAAGAATGGCACGAAGAGTTATCAACCCATTGATTATCGACGCCTGATCTGCCACAGGTTTTCGATGATACTTCTTTTCAAGGACCTACAGCTTTGTCTTCGAATTTCTGTAACAATGTATTGAAAAACTGATTGACCTCATTCTTTTGAAATTATACTTTCATCTTGCAAGTGCATGAAAATAAAAGATAAAAGTTTAATAAAGTAAGTATAAAGTCATTCATTTAAAAGATAAGAAAGTGCTATCGAATTAGTTATTTGCAAATCGAAGATGAAGGCTAAGATTTTGACTGCTTAGTTATCACTTCCGATTAGACTTCTCTGGAGAATATCATCGTCCATTTATTAATTTTATCAACTTTACACATTGCGTAATTGCTTATCTCTGTTCAAGGTTTTAGCTTCCGAGATTCCTTGTGAAATGTGATATGTATGCATGTGATATAAACATTTTTTTACACAACTTGCAACTTTCCACTAATGAAGCAATCGCGTTTAACGGTAAATGTTAAATATAATTACGAATGTTCATAAAGAGTTAACTATTTTTTTTATTTTTTTAAATTTATATATAATACATATTATTATAATTATATATATACATAAGAGAAATCTAGTAATATATGAGAATTTAATGTTTAGCGAAAATTGAAAAAATGTGTAGAACGTGAAAAAAATTCTGATAAATATTCAAAAATAAGAATATTCAGGAATGATAAAAATAGTAATTTTTCGTTTATATTTTGTCGTGAATGAGATAATATCGTCTTCCCTCAAAGTGTCATAATTTGCCACTTACGAAACACTGCAAATAGTTCGCGCGTTATTTGCGACACTTATTGTTTTTTTTACGACATATTGTAATGACTTTGACATAAAGATCAAAGAATATTTGCAAAAAGTTACATAAAAATCGACAGATTTTATTTCTATAAGTAACATATACTATATCGCAAGGCACAGTTCTTACTGCATATTTTTGTGCAACTGGAAGAGTTACTATAATTAGCAACGACGAAGTGCGTTTTGTGTCAACTAATTTATCAAAAAATAACAAATAAAAGAGTAAATATTTAATCAATCTCTCTGCGATTTAATTGACTGCTACGAGTAAAGTTCTCTGTAATGTGTTATATATTTAGAAAGTTATAACGGACAAAAGATTTATGTTTCGCGGAATGCAAGAATGGTCAAGTTCAGCAACTTTCGTTATTTCTGATATCGTCAGAAAAGAACTTATGCTTATCGCAGTAGCTTATTAAACATTTAATTTTTCCGCTATAGTGAAGAAAGTTTCTATGTATATAAATTTTTAAATATTTATTGTTTTTTTATTTTTAATAATTACATATATATTATATTATATTATTATTAATAATTATTTTTATATTGTATTTTACATTATCTAAAAATTATATGTTGATTACTTCCGTTGCTAATTACTCGAAAATTAATAATATCGCGATATTTTCATTACTTGGCCTTATCTTAAAATGGAGTTAAGAGTCAAAACTTTATTTTTTTCTATTCAAAGTTAATTGTAAAAGTCATATCTGTGTAATATCTTTTGAAATTATCTCTTGGACTTGTCTCATTATATTTAAAGGAAACATCAATATCTCGATTTCTCTTATTCTATTGCTTTTTCCGACATATAACTTTAATTTCCGTAGAAACTTTCAAAAAATTTCGATATTTTACATATTTTTATATGCCTGAATCATTGGAATTCTAGTTATCAATGAAAAACTTGTGGTTATGAATCATCAGTCTTTACTTTAACAGATAAAGTAAACTGGAAGCATTATGTGTAAAAAAAAGTCACGTGAAGAATATGCTGATACATATTATGCATTGATACACATTATGCATTCATGTCTTCGACGCAGATACTAAAGTACACGGAATATCCGAAAGACAGCACAAGAAAAACTTGCAAGATTGCATTGAAAAATAAACATGCTCAAAATTGCAAGAATATTTTCTTAAATTTGAATTTAAGTAAAATTTTCATTTGCAGAATTATAAAAGATTGACAAATTTTCAATCGCGATAAGCAGACACGTACATTTTTCATCACGAAACGTTTCAATTGCTAGATATGGAGGAAGAGACTAGAGAAACTTTTCACTGTTAGATTTCGTCCAAAACCGGTTTGAGAGGGTTTAATTTCTCCCATATAAAATTAGATGAAGAATATATCTGGTTTCGGATTCTAAGGATTACTTTCGCGCGTCTTTGGCTCGGAAATCGAACCCTTACGCCGATCTCGCTGCATTTCTTCGGATGCACGTGGCTCTCGCGTGATTCAGTCGCTCACTCACCCTGGATGAAATTTGGCAGTTTGTGAATTGCAGCGCGTCGTACACAGGTAACAGATGGGTCATCGAGCACAGATTACATTCCTCATACATATATGTGGATATATATGCTCCAGGACTGGTTGCTCCGATACTCCAATCCAAGCATGAGCGCTGGTTTATACCGACTGACTCGTCGCCAGCTAGCCGTCAGCAGTTTCCGTGCCGTTCCCTTTCCTCTTCACTCTTGTCATCATCATCATTTGTGGTCCCCACTACCATGATCGTCGCGCCACGTCATTGTCCCTACTTCGAAATCGAAGCGACGAAGTTGAAGTATAGGGTATTGCAAGAAAGAAGTCGGAAATATACCTAGAAAAGCCGGAAATATACATGAGACGTCTTCGACAATTTTAATCAATTACTGAATAATCGTATCTTTTCAACTAAATTCAGTACATTTATTTTTTATAGGGAAATGATGACTTATTTACCGCGAATGACGCAACTTTATTATGATTAATTGATTCCAATTAAGTTTAATCGTTGCGCGAGGACAGCTGCAGGCGCCTATAATGATGAAGTTATTAATGATAATCAACAAAATATGTTTGGAATGTAGATCATCCTGCCAATGATGCTGATCATAATTAATATATCTAAACTCTTAAAAAGCGCTCATTTTTCCAATGCAGCACATTGTAATTTAAAAAGTTAATTTTACTTTTTATTAGAAATTCTTCAGCATAGCTTTGTAAAGAGTTATTACACAATATTAACATATATTTAACATATAATTGTCAAAGGCGACGTATCATTTTATACGTATTTAAACACTCTTGTAACGTGAAACAATTGGAATTACAACCCTTTTGAAATGCAATACTTTATACTCAACGATCTATAGTGACAGTTTCTTTATGTGGAAATTCGCATGTTTTCGCTGATCTATTGCTTACGCTATTCTACAAATATAGGTGTACGTATTTAGTTAGAGCGAAAAATATTCTTGCACGTCTCGCGATCGGTATTTCTGCAATTCGTCTACCTCACACGAGAATTGTTTTGCGCGTTAATAACGCGCAATAAGGAGTCCCCGGGCGTAATAAGTGTTCTGCGGTATTTCCTGATTGCAGTCCGGTCGCGAGGCACGCGCCACGAATGGAATGCAATATATTCCTCGCAAAAATATTCTATTATTAAGATGCTCTCCTTTTCTCCGCATGAATAGAGCATTCTGAAATGCCCTAATCTTAACTTTAATCGCGATTCACTCTTTGATCTATTCGGAGTGTAATCTTTCTTTTATTATTTTATCTATACTTTTTTAGTAGTATTTATACCATAGACTTCTATATAGAAGCCTGTGACTTATATATATTAAATATAGAAGTCTGTGATTTATACATAGCATACATTTAAATGATGAATATATTTACTACTATGTCATAAATAGTAAGGATATATTTGCAACTTTCTTAATTATGTATATGATTGAACATTAAAGACTGTTTTTGTACAATTCTCCGAAAGTTTCAAGATATTTTATATACTTTGAAATATTTCACACAAATTGGCAATCTACGATATTTAATTTCTCCGTCTTCATTAGCAAACTCATCAATTATTGGAAATTGTTTATTTCCTTTTAATCAATCTCAGATGAGATTATGTTCTATTTGATATTTGAATTATGAATGAATTTTTGTATGACTGAAAGAAGAAAAATTAGATTATGTCAAATGCAAACACTGTACACGAAAATTATATTCTGTGCTTTAGTTATTTAATTGCGCTATTTGATATTTTATTAATATATGAACACATTAGATAACACGAAATTAATTCCGCGAAACTTTGATGATAATAGGCAATATTAAAATCAAATTTAAATCAAATTGAATTATATATTTTCCTAACGATTTAAGAAAAATCCTCTGAGGATTTCCTTGAGCTAGTGGAAGGGAGTTTTGATTCCCGGATCAGTTTCCTCGAGTTTGCGCATTTGGCATCGATTCGCAAGCGCGGAACTCTGCAGAACATGAAAGTTCGCAGTCCAAGGATCAGTATAGATTCACCTTTCTCGCAGGCTTTTCGCGATACTGATCTTTCGAATAATTATACAAAGAGCTTTTAATATTCATTATATATAACTAAGAAAACTACAATATCTCAACAACTTGAAAATAATTTACCTGAAAAGCGTGAGCGACTACTATTAATTTTACTCCGGCATTAAGATCCAGATTGATTTAATTCAAAATCCAAATTGAAGAAACGAATCGCTCGGCCAATTCACTCGGGTACTTTGAGGAAGATTTAATCACATCAACGATGATATTTTTCCTATTGCTAGTCGCTCTCGTGGGTGTCCATTCGAGCTGGTCTCGGTATGATTCTTCGATTGTTGAAAATGTACCTGCAAGCGCGATCCACTCGGTTCCTCTCGGTTCGGAGGCGACTTTTTATTGGAAGTGCGTTTTCGAGCAAGATCGTCTTCGTCGTTGTAATCTTCAAGTGTCCATGGAAAAATGATACAGCATCGAATATACTTTCAGGGTGGATTTAATAAATCAGCTGGTGGTCGTAGAGATTCATTACGTCGGCAATGACAGCAGCTGGTTCGCGATCGGATTTTCCGACTACGGAGAACTGAAACCGGCCGATTACTGTGTCTTATGGCCCGACTGGCATAAACAGATTCATCTTCAAGTAAAATGAAATATTTAGTTATGTAAAACGTTAAATCATTGTGTACAACATATTGATCTACTGACCTCTCTTCTGCTAATAATTGACAGGATTCGTGGGTGGATTTCGATGGGAAATTACAACTGGACAACCAGCAGGACTGCAAAAACTTTGCGTGGAAAAGGCGCGGCAACGTCACAAAGTTCACCTTCATCCGCAAATTCGATACCTGCGACGATCACGATTATATTATTGAGGCAAGTGAAGCTTACTATAATTTTTGAAAGCTCGCAAATCTTTCGCAAAAGTTGAGGCATCTAAAATAAAAAAAAATTCGTGTAATGACTGTCGTATAAAAGTATTCGATAAAAGAATAAAAATTTTCAGTATTTTAATATATTAATAAGAAGACAAAGCAGTTTTTGAAATACTCTTAAATACATACCAGCTAAAGAATCCCTCTCTCTAAATATTAATTGTTTAAAATCGCGTTTCTAGAGAGGTACCACGCATCTCGTGTGGCTTCGCGGCCGTGGACCCTTGTCCTCTTTAACCGGGTTGGAGATTTCGGACGCAAAAGCCTCAGGCATGTCCCGTACGGAATTGCGCAGGGTGTCCCATAAGAAGCCGAAGTTTCCCGCGAATGCTTGGCAGCTCGATGTACTTGCCCATCGGGTCCAAGTGCCGAAGCAGGAGACCACCTATTGGTGTCACGTACATAAATTACCGTCAGTGTTGAAACAAAAGTGCGTACAAATTAAATATAAACATATTTTAATAAATTTATGAGAGATTTATAGATCACATACATGTTTCATCACTGCTACATCTTCCTTATTAGCTTTGAAATTCTGATCAGCTCGGAATCCGCTTAGATTTTGCATTAGTTTTTATCAATCAAAAATTAATACATATAATAATAAATATAAATATTCTTTTTTGTTGGATAATTATGAATATTCTTTTTTGTTGGTAGGCATCACATCTTACAATTCGGCCCCGCCATCCAATCGGGTAACGAACACATCGTACATCACATGGAAGTCTTTCATTGCGCTGGACCTGTGGATGTAGAAGTGCCTATATATGATGGGCCTTGTGACGGACTCGATAGACCAGCTAAGACTCAGGTATATTTATTCTTATTCTTTTGAAACGAGACTAACAAAACGAATAAAAAACTCTTGTAATATTAAAAAATTATGAGTGTTTAAATTATTTTATAAATATTTTTCGCTATTAATTACGAACAAATATTCAAAACTAGTATGTAATTTATATTTTCTGATTGCTCTGAATTTGTTTTTAAAAAAATTATAAAATATAATTAATTCTCAGTAGATTAAATGCTCTTTTTCAAGATTAAAAAATATGTCTTCGATTAAGCTCATTAATTTTTTGGTCCGTGTAGATCTGTAAAAAGGTGATGGCGGCGTGGGCGATGGGTGCCGATGCATTCGTATACCCGGAGGAAACTGGTCTGTCTATCGGCGGGGCCGATTTTAATCCGTATATTATGCTGGAGGTGCATTACAATAATCCGGAGCTACATCAGGGTGTCATCGATTCCTCTGGAATTCGATTTGTTCTCACCAAGTCTTTGAGAAAATACGATGCTGGTGTGATCGAACTTGGACTCGAATACACCGACAAAATGGCCATACCAGCGGGACAGGTAAAAAGATTTACAATAATAAGTACCTGGATTTGCAATATCTGTGATTATCAATTAATAAAATCTTATTAATTTCCTTAGGAAGCCTTTATGCTCTCCGGTCATTGTATTGCAGAATGCACCGGAGTCGGATTACCTCAAAGTGGTATAAATATTTTTGCCTCTCAGCTGCATACACATTTAACGGGCACGAAAGTCAGCACCCGTCATATAAGAGATGGTGAAGAGCTACCACCGTTGAACTATGACAATCATTATTCCACTCATTTTCAAGAGATCAGATTGCTACCGAAACCAGTGACCATTTTGCCTGTAAGAAAATAAACACTAAAAAAATAAATATAGAAATAAAACAGATATAATATGAATAAATAAATTCATATAAAAGTTAAAAACAAAAATAAAATTATAATAATTATTCCTTTTGCTAATTAGGAGCAAGCAACACCATAAAAAAACTTAATTTGACTAATTTTAAAACATAATACAATATGATAATGTTATGTAAGCGTTAATAATTTTGTTGCAATTAACAATTCTCCTTTTCTTTCTTCCAAATAAAATATTTGCAGGGGGATTCTTTGATAACTACATGTACGTACAACACTATGAAGAGAGATAATGTGACTCTTGGTGGTTTCGCTATTTCAGACGAGATGTGCGTTAATTACATTCATTATTATCCTAACGCGCTATTGGAGGTAAATTAAAATTATTAGCGAAATAAAAAAAGTAATAAAATAAATAAAAATAAAGTTATTCATTCGCATGAATCTATTATAAGAAAAAAATTTATATAATTATTTTATTCTGTGTTATTTAGGTATGCAAAAGCGCTATAAGCGACGACGCTCTACATACTTATTTCCGTTATATGCGAGAGTGGGAAAATCAAAACACTAACACGAACAAGGGTATTTCGGCGAATTACAAAAGCATCGAGTGGACTAAGGTCCGTGTGGAAGCTCTTCATGATCTCTATGAAGCTGCACCTTTAGGTTTGTAACTTAACAACTTTGTATTTAAACTTGAGTTTTCATGATTTTTAATTATTGTAATTAAGATTCATTAAGAGTTCTTTAATCTAATAATTTTTTATGTATTTTTTCGATGGCATGTGTTGTGATATGATAAAAAGTAAAATATAAAGAGAATTTCTACTATTTTTAATATTGTTTTCAATCTTTAATCTTAATTTCTGTATTAAATTTCTAATCAATTAATTTTAGTCGATATAATTAATTTTAATTGATTTACCAGGGATGCAGTGTAATAGCTCAGATGGCTCTCGATTGCCTGGCTCATGGGACAACATCGCGGCAACACCAGTTAGATTACCTTTGCCACCACCAGCCAGAGATTGTCTGGAACTTTCGCTTCAGCAAGAAATTTTGGATCAAATGTGAATGTTTTATTTCAAAATTTTATTGATTTGATTATTCAATGAATATTTCGAAGAACTTTCAAATAAGTAATTAAAATTTTAGACTTTCATCCGAAGCATATCAAATCTAATGCTACTTGCTAGAAAATTTTCGTGAAACCTCTCTTAAACATTTATTTTAGCTTGGTAATATATTCTTATGACAATATTCAATTATAAAAATAATAATATTGCAATAATTCAACAATAATTCTAATTTGTAATGGAACTTTAAGTTTTTACAATAATATAATATAACAAAGTGATAAATATAAGGCCAACTTATCGAGCTGAATATTCGAGATGTTCAGTCAACTACCATTTATTACATGTATAAATTATAAAACTACAGTCATTATATTAAAACTAACGCAAATTACAATCATTCTATAAACGTTTCGACCGCACGCGGTCTTCTTCAGTATAATTATTGAAATATAAATCTTACAATTCACATAATATCGAAATTTAATTATAGTTATTCAGAATCAAGAGTTTTTGAGAGTTTAAAATGAGCTGTCTTTCTGTATTGTTGGTTTGTTATGTGTCATCCTTAATAACTGTTAATAAGTAGCAAAATTATCAAGAAGAACGATGATAGCGCCTACGGAACGGGTTAATTTCTCGCATATTAACGATGAAACTATCCGAGATCTGAACAAAATCAGGGATCATATCGAGGCGAACATTGTTGGACAGGACGGATTGAAACACGCGTTAATTACTCAAAAACTCTTGATTCTGAATAACTATAATTAAATTTCGATATTATGTGAATTGTAAGAATTTATATTTCAATAATTATACTGAAGAAGACCGCGTGCGGTCGAAACGTTTATAGAATGATTGTAATTTGCGTTAGTTTTAATATAATGACTGTAGTTTTATAATTTATACATGTAATAAATGGTAGTTGACTGAACATCTCGAATATTCAGCTCGATAAGTTGGCCTTATATTTATCACTTTGTTTTCAATATACGAGCGACAATTGTATTAATTATTTTTAATATAATATAATTGTGAATTTTTCTCTCTCAATGCTATCGAGTTAAATATTAATGGAAATGCCTCATCAAAATAAAATGTAGCAAATCCAATAAATACACAATTAATATCAAAGTTTATAAACCTTTAGTATATATTTATGCTATGTTTGGCCAAGTTAGTATTGATCGAAAATATCTCGTTGAGACAAATTCAATACACGATCGATATAAAAGTTTATAAACCTTCAGTATATATTTATGCACTTTAAGTAATTTTTTTCATATTTTTGGCAGTACATCGCGTTTCGCTGCGAACAAGCTAGCTCGATCAAACTTTGTAACAAATAGTTTACTGATGCGATGATAATTATCTCATATATGTAATGGAGTAATAATATTATTAATAATAATACACAAATATAATAATCGAGGAAACTCGTTTTTACACTTTGTATCAATGTACAAAATAAGGCGGACGTTCCTTAAACGCTACGACGATATCAAAATTAATCTTATACGATATTTTTTTACGGTATAATACATACACGGAAGGGGAAAGGTAATAATACACGCATACAAACAAGCACAAACATACACGCGATCGTCTTTACACGCATGAGATACAATAATTGTTTATACTTCGAGTATAAACAATTTAATATTTCTTACATACGTCTTTGTTTTTATCGAACACTTTTTTTTAGTCAGACTTGGCTCTTTTTCGTTTTCTCTTTTTTGTGCTTTTTTGCATGTTATAATTATTGCAAACTTCGCAGACGGTCTGGCAATAATACACGATACACTATGTACCGATTTCTACTAATTTGTACTGTCCAACCCGCGTGTTTTTTTTTATTTTTCTTTTTTTTTTATATTGCGACTACAGTATATTTCTCTATCGTATAGAATGTTCCAAAAAACCATTCACAAAATCAGTAATATTAAAATAAAAAAAGGAAAATCAAAGAATATATAATATAAATAAATCTTTTTTTCGTACAAGATTATTTCTTCAAGAAAATTAATTTTAATGATCAGAATTAAAAAAAAAAAAAAATATTTTAATGATTTTTTACTAATTTAAAGATAAATCTCAAAAACAAATCGAACATCTCATTTATTTTGCATATTTCACTTGTTTTCCTTCTTCTTAAAAAATCACGTTTTTTTCGTTTAAATGATTCTCGAAACACTCTATACGCGCGCGGGGAAGGACCTTTCTCTTTAATGTCTTATTTTAAGCTGCAATTGGACGATAATAAAAAAAAAAATTAGTTTTGTTTGTATAAGAAATTACAGTCGAAAAATAGCGCTTTGACGGAATAAGGAGGACTTACTTCTCGAGGCAGTCATATGTCTTTTCGAGATAAAACTCGTGAGTTTTTGCGCGAAGACTCGAACTTGTTTCTCTGATTTAATTTTTGGTAGAAAGTTCGAGCCATCATATGGAATGGACGATTATTACATTATACGTACGTATAAAGCAGATTCTCAATTTTTTGCACACTATGAGGAACATCATTCGCTGAATTTCGCAGGATCCCCATGGAACAATAAACCATACACATACACATTTTCTTTCTTTCTTTCTCTCCTGGATACTGCGATGCTTCTGCAAGATGAACGCTATTATAAATACAAAGTACAAGATTCATATTATTTAGAGCGATAGCTTACTTGCTGCAAAGGGTACAAAAAGGCTCGTATAAAAAGATTTAGATTCTCTGCTAGGAACACACGTCATTTGGAAAAGTACTTAACTTCCTAGAGCTCAGACGCGCCAGAAAGAGATTGCATATTCAGTACATAAATTTCAGGCTTTCAAAGTTTCGATTTCAAACTTTACATATAAGATTTTTTTATTTTATTCTTTTAGATTCTTTTCACTCTCTTATATTCTCTTTAACAAATCTTCCCCCTTATAAATTTTCTTTTATAAATTTGTAAGATACTCTTAATATATAAAATGTTAATACAACTTTTCAATCAATTTGCCCACTTTGGTTAATCTAAACTAATCTTCTTTGGTCAATTTTTCACCTGAAATTTCTGTACCACACTTTTCTCTTAAAATTCTCATCTTACAAAGGATCGTCAATTTGATCGCATGCGAGCGACATCGTCACGCTCGGACAATACAAAGTAGAAAATATATTATGAACTTCAAAGTAAAAAGATGTATAATATATATATGTATATATGTGTATATATATATACATATATATTATTATTATTATTATTATTATTATTATTATTATTACGCTTTATATATCGTTCTATAAGAGCAGCTCTGCTATGTTACTTTGCACATATATGGAATACAAAAGTTTCATGTAGAGGATTCCATCCAAGCCAGTCTATTCGTTTAATACATGTCTGGTCTCTAGCTCAGCATTGCAGGAGAAGTTGCGCAAAACTAATGTCTACAAAAGAAACACCAAATGGATTATTGTGCCAACCTGCACAATATAAGACTATCAATACGATGTTTGAAGAATAGAAATTAGTTTTTTAACAGCGAAAATCTCTTAATTTAATCATAAAATATAAATTAAAATAACAAAATAAAGAAAAAGTATTACTTCTTTGAAATAAAATAAAGAAGTCAATGTTATCATATCTAATGCAAATATAATAACAACTTAATTGTTATATAAAAAGTGCATTTTCTTATAAGAATATACAAATTATATTATCAACTCTCTTACTTGACAATGTAATTATATTATATTGTCATATAAAAATTATGTGTTACTTAAACGATATACATTAGAAAATACAATAAAAATAGAAATATTATATCTTTGAAAGTTGACAAGTAGATTGAAAGTTAAATCTAGGCTTATCATTCAGACATCGTCATGGAGTCTTTTAGACATCTGTCTTGTCAAACAAGAAATTGCTGCATTTCTGATTACTTACCAATTTCAAATTGAACGACGTTAACCGCGAAATTCGGATTCTAAAGAACCGAAAGGCTTTGTCGACTAGAGCGATTGATTGTTTTGTTGTTGCATATGTAACTGCAGGAAACAATAGAGAATGCCAGCTTGCGCCATCACGTCGACAGTACCAGCGGCGAGCGGATCGCGACTTTTGGCATCGCTACGCGAATTACTGGTACCGGGTCGTAGTAACGTGGGTCCAAACACTGTGGCCAAGTTGTGCAGTGACATCTTGTTCTGCGCCTCGTGTTTGTTCACGCGAGCGAGATGCGCTAGTAGAAAATCGATCACCGCTTTATTGACAGCAGGTAGACCGTCGTAAACGCGGCGTAAAGCAGCGCCTCGTGACAGATCACCCGTTTGGAAGGCTTCCAAGAACGCCGGATAAAGAGCGTCGGTGAAGAGCGCTTCCGGCATTTCGCGCAGGTACAACTTTAGCACACCCGTCACCGAATGCACATCGACCTGAATGTTCAAGATATTAGTATAATGCGAAAAATATTTCTCTTCGGAAGTATTGGAAAACGTACCTCTTTAAGCAGCTGTTCCGCTTCATACGAGTTGCTCTCGAACGACTTGCGTAGCCTCGCTACGTCGGATGCAGAACCAGAAACGCGATACAAGCCTACCTCGCCTACACCTCGTCTTTCTACTTCTCTCACGCATGCCGTTATGATGAAAGGCACGTCGCGCTTTTCTCGTCTGCGACAAAAAATATATTTTCTTTAAAATATTTCAAATTTATATATATATAAATTAAATTAAGAGATATATTTAGTAATTTTATTCTTATTGTAAAAAGAAATAAAAACAGTTTTCTTCTTGTTTTTTTTTATCACGATTTGATTTGAATATTAAATTAATATATTCTCGAACTTGAAGATTTAATCTTTTTAATTCGAATAAAATCGCGCGTACTTGCACACTTGCTGGATCTTGGCACCAAATAAACCTTGCGGTTTGGCCGAAGGCACTCGCCGCAGAGTGACCTCACTGGGAACAAAACGTAGCCCTACATCTAATGAAGTGGGTCCCAAGTTCAATGATCTCTCCACCTGATCAGATTGCAGCCAAGATCTGCTCAACCTCTGAATGCACTTGCCTCGTAATAACGAGCGTGTACCGCACTCCTCGTACAACAAGATTCTAACATTCTGACTTCCTTCCAATTCTACTACAAAAGTCTCACCTGCAATTGAAACAAATAGAAAAATTCATAATAATCATATAAAAAATTTTAATTTTAAAATATACTGCTATCTATATTTGTTGAAGATTACAGATTAAGATGTACTACAAATACTCTGTATAAAAGAAGTGAGAAATATCTTACCCCAAAGCGGAGCTTGACCTTTGGCGACGCGACTTCGTGCTCTCTTAAAGTAGTGTCCATAGCTGTCGACTTCCACGATGATATATAAGTCACTCACTCTGTCTAAACCTGGCGGAGTTAGACCAAGCAGTGTTAGATGAAGATCACCTAGCAGCAAGCTTTCGTCGCGTCCAGATCTCAACAAATAGCTGCCCATATCCGTTTGCAGAAACGTCCGACAAGCGGTGACCCAAGCTTGTAATTCGTACATCGACAATGGTAGCTGTCCTGGTGGCTGTCCGCCCTGGAAAATACAAATTAATAATGTTAATTCCCTTATTTTTAATTAAATATATAGAGTTTAATATAATAGCTTAACAAATGTAAATAGAATAATTGCATAAACTATATATTAATAATTGTATTTATAGTTATTAATGAGATTCAATGACCTGCTGCAATGCATCCACCGCCTCCACCCATTGGGAACGCTCAAATTCACTGGACAAAAAGAAGGTATAGGAATTCTGCACTCGGTTTTGTTGGCTCTTATGCGCGACACGTAGAACCAAGTTCGGCGAAGCTAATACCAACTGCGCCTCGAGTTCAGCGAGTTTTTTCCGATTCTTCTCCGAGCCTCTTCCACCTAGTCGAATTCGCTTCTCGTCGTTCCGTTCCTCCCACAGTATCTGATCGCGTACTGTACACGCTTGAGACCTATTTTGATAGTTGTTAAATTAATTAAGATAGGTAAGTTAAGATACATTTAACTAGGCATTAGGCAAATCAAATACTCGTTCGGTTTCTTTGTTTTATACTATAGTATAAATATGATATATTGACAACATGAACAACAAATGAATCATTACTATTATTACTCGTATTTTGATAACAAGAGATATGAATGGATGTGTGACGATCAATCTGATAACATGTTTGTTGATGTCAATGTTAGTAAAAATATTACATATATCAGAAGGTAATTCTAGCATTAATTTATTGCGGATTTTAAGTCGGCTTACCTCAAAGCTACAACATTAGCGGGGCTGGCTTCGCGTGGCTCTACGCCGTCCTCCGTAACAGTCGCTTCCGCGACGGGGACATACCACTTTAATTCGAACGTGAATTTATCTCTGCCGGATGCTTTATACTTCGCACAGGCGATTACGTCGTTAAAGAGAAAAAGGTGTCTCAGCTTTCTGTGACCATCCGAGAGTTCGACTACAAACGAATTCTTCACCAATCTTCGTTGAGCTCTGTCGTGACTCTAAGGAAGAACAAAAAAATCAGATATAAAGGAACAATTACAATATATTAAAAAAATTGTATAAAATACATCTAGTATTACATGAATTTTTCTTACCGGAAACATGGACTTTGTCTGAATAATATTAAACTCATCTAAGAAATTCCTGGTCATAGCCAGAGCTTCTGACAGAGGTGCGTGATCCGCATGATTAACTGGCGTATGCTTCAAAAGATCCTGGAAGTATTAAATGGGAATTATCGCTACGAAGTGAGAGATAAGATAAACTAGAGATTATGGTGCATTTATGAAAAATCTAAGAGTCATAGTAGTTTATCATTTTAGCAATTTTCTCAGTAATATTGTTGTAAAAAATCGCATTTTGTTGCTAATGCAATGTAAAGGGAATTTATATAAGAAAATATTGTATATACTTACATGTAAAACTAAAGCATTCTTTTGCACTCGAGCAACTGGCTTATGTAACAGATCTTCTAACGACAAACCCGGACCCTTTGGGAAACCTCTGAGTCTTATGTCTCTAGTAATCTCTCCAAATTGAGTGGAATTGGTAGAACATCGTCGCACGGTGTCAGTTGCACGACCATAATTGTGTAAAAATGCACCATATAATCCTATATTACTGGCCATAACCTGAAGTCAACACAATTACGTTACACGATTATTCAAATTAATTTTTATTCATCTCATACGACAGTATCATCAAATTATATATACCTTAAATTGTTCTCCTATATTAGTTTTACTGTCCCATTTCTCTGTCTTCTTTCGAAGACCGTCCAGAAACGTCTGATGCAGAGCATGTAGTTCTGGAATCTTGTAGAACATTGTTCCAAATTCCTCCTCCGAGATGACTGGTTGAGATGTCGTTAAAGTTGCCCTAATAGCTTTCATATACTGTAAACAAAGACAAATAGTGAAATACATATATTATAAATGAGCTATTGTAAATATTCGAATTGCAAAATAGTTACATACTTGTAACATCACAGTTAAACACTCCACATATACAGCTTCGCTCTCTACTACCGAATTCACGATACACTTGACCATCGATGTTCTATCGTCCTCGCGATCCTTGCTCTTCTCCTGTCTACGCGGTGTCGTCGGAGTCGGTGATTCCAGGCTACCCTCGCTCAAACTCAATGGTTCAGCGTCACTGCTGCCGGTTTCGTTGTCCGTGCTGAGAGCTCGCAGCAAGATCGGAGGTGCCGGACTGGCACCTTCCTCGTCTTCGCTGTCCATCGCCGCTCTGTGTCTGAAAATAATATGCGAATCGTACACATTCTATATTTTTACTTTAACCCGGGAGTACTCGTACGTGAATTCAACCAATTATATAGGTCTGTTCTTTTCAGCTGAACTGGTTGTACTAGTTCAGAGTTTATTTCTTTCCTTTCAATATGGAGTAAAGAATTCAGTTCAACTAAAAAGAACCTTACATTTACAAAATATATGTTCAAAATGATCCGGATGCACGCGTACTCCGCGTGATTAAAGACTTTGACATGCTTTAGTTGAAGTGAGACGAGAGATGGCGAACGACTTACTGTATAAAATAATCGATGTTGACATAATTACTCTGATTGCCCGGCGAATCTGGCAGTGACGGGGGTCTTCGAGGCGCCGCTTTGTTACCATTATTGCTGTTGACAGTGGGAACGCGCGCATCAATATAGACGTATTCTCCAGTTTGATCCAAAGCTACTGAATCGTAATAAGGCTCCTCTTCTGATGCTTCTGCGTCGCCATCCTCGTCATCCTCGTTGATTGCCTTTTCTAAGTCTAGTCAGCAAATAAATAGTAGTCATTGTGTGAAATTTAACAAACGAATAAGATTATTCAATGTTTAGAACTTTGTAAATTCTATTATATTTTGTAATTTTATTATAAAATAATTTGTAGCATATGGATATAAAATAAAATTGAGCTTTGTGACTAATCTTCAATCATACAAGTGATTAAGTATAATTGAAAATCTTCTCAATTTATCAAAATTTTTAAATGATTCTTTTTCTTAATATCAAAACAAGAAAGTTTTCATAACAATTACATAGGCATTTATACAAAATTTTATTTAAAAAATGTATAGACAAGATAAGAACACAAAAAAAGATTACCTTTCTCATCCTCCTCCTTGAGAGAATCCTCATTTTTATCTTTTTTCGAGCTTCCAGTGACTTCGATTACTGTAACATAATTACTTGGCACGTCTGGATCACTGTTTCTCCTAAGCTCAGGCACTTTCTCCGGACTCTTCGGTATTTCGCTCTTGGGTCTCTTGCCAGCTGCGCCGAGAGTTGAACTCAATTCAGACACGCACTTGTCCTGAAATTTGCTAATGTCATCTCGTTCTGTCAAAGGCGCGGACGATCCGACATTCGTCGGATTTGAAGAGTCCGTCAAGTTATTTTCCACTGTTTGAGAATCCTGTTGAGACTGCAGTTCCGTTGCTTCCTGTTTGTTTTCAGATATACTTGCATTTAAATTGATATTGTTAGCCAGTTGCTTGTGTCGTTCGACATCAGCCAGTAATCTTTCTAGATACTCTACGTAAAATTCTTCCTTTTCAAGTTCTTCTCTCAAAGCTGTCACCTGCAAAAAAAATATATTAGAATATATACAGTGTGCATTTCTTTATGACGTTTTTCAAAAAGTTTTTACTGTTATTTGATAAAAAGCAAATTTTAAAAATTAATTAATTTACAAATATTATAGAGAATTATATTTTATAAAAAAAATTATATTTTGCACTATATTAAATATATTTTTCTAATTTCACAAAATTAATTGTTTCAATTTATACAATTTCTTTCCACTTTTTAAAACATTTACATTGTATTTCAAGAAAATTTTAACCAAAATTGATTAATATATGCCATATGAACTTCTAGGATGACCTAATACAATCAGTTTCGAATATGATAAGATAATTACAGATAATTTTTCTTAATGATTCATAAAAAGATAGTAATTGAAAACAAAAAATCAATGTTTATTATTTTTTTCATTATTTACTGTTTTGTTTATTAAAATGTTATATAAAAAAAAGATAATAATTTCCTTTGATATTTTAAATGTCACAAGTGCTCTACTACTAACAGGTTTCAGACAATTAATTCGATGAGTCATCATGGCACTCAATGTGATATTAATCAAATTACACGTGACGAAGTTTTTATTACAAGTGGTAAAATTAAGTTTTTCTCGTTCTTCTTAATTTTTATGTGAAGAAATACCTGAATCTTTGATTCAGGTATTTCTTCACATATATTTCTTTGCTAACTGTTTTAATTATATCCACATAAATGAACATCCCACTCAATTCTGACTAATAAATACCTGGTAAACATTGCAACATCTCATCGTTCTTATCTTTGTATCTTTAATCATGCAATTCACCCATTGTCACAAATATTTATCTCCCCTTCTTCCAGAAATCTGTCAGAACTTATCCAGAAGAATTGGATGTTCTAGCCTATTTGTTTGATGAGTCATCCATTCCAAGATATTAATTGAATTAAATAGAACCCTTTATTCACATGCACCAACATACACGCTCATATCCGACTAATAAATACCTAGTGAACATTGTGACACTGTTGGCAAACTAATCGTTGCGCAAGTTTCGTCCTAATTTTACATATTTTTGTTCTTTCACTTTACAATTATATCCATCACAACACAATCTTATTCTTGGATTCATCAATAAAACTCAAATGCGAACTCGATGCGAACAGCCTCCGCCCTTGTGTCTCGCGAGACCTCTTCCTCGAAGAAGAGTCATCACACTCACCTTCTGCTTGTGCTTGACGAGGTTCGCTCTAACGTCCTCTTCCCAGGCGGCCGGCAAGGCGCTGTCCGGGAACCGCTGCACCCAGACACGCTGAAAGTCCCCGAACACGCTCATGCCTCCGGACGCGTGGATGCGGTACTCCTCGTCGGCGACTCCTCCAGGGACAAGTCCCAGCAACACTCCGCCAGCCAGCACTCACGGTGCCGTTGTGCGCATCGCACGGGGGCGCGGCACTCACGACGATGACGACGGTGTCAAGTCTCGCGTACTCTTCGCTCTCTCGTTGCACTCTCTTCGTAGCCGCACTTGTCGCACCACCAAGGTGCGGTGCGACGTCTTCTCGGTTATCTCGTGGCGGGCACAACGGCGTAGCCAGCCAGCCAGCGTCGTCATACGGCCGCTGTCATCTTGTCGACATCTCCTGCGTAGGTCACGTTCCGATCCCCCCAAACCCTTAGTACGCCAATGACGTCACGGGTATACCACCTTCGACATAACTTCTTCGCGCGCATCTATATAATATTTTTACACCGTGACTGTGCGCGCTATTGATGGGATTGTGGGGTAACAGATGGCGCGTGCGCGCCAATGTTATATATATATATATATATATATATTGTGCTTCTATACTCGTCTATTTTCTTTGGTAGAATATTTTATAGTTCTTTTACAAACTTTAAGTTTTTCTAAAAAAATAAAAATTTTATATAGAAATTATATTTAAATCATATTCAATTATCATATATAAAAATCCTATTTAAATTATTAAATTTTATTTTATTTTGCAGTATGAATAATCGCATTTCATAAGCAGTGATTAATATCTTTTAATAAGATCACTTTTTGGTTGTATTATAGTTTTAATTATAATTTCTTATTCATATTGTTAAAAAGAATAATGCAGCTAACATATGAGAAAAAGAAATGTATATGTATATAAGTTATACATATACAAATTTGATATTTAGCATTGCATGCACATGCCTGTTGATGCTGAACCAACTATATGATTATGGATAGATTCTATAAAGATTCCTGTAAAACGTCCAGTCCTTAAAAATACTTGTACACTGCAATCGAGTTTTCAATTTCAATGTCAAGTGTTCAATATGGCAATCTAGTGGAAATAATGCAATATCCACAAACGTTCCTGCGGCACCTCCTGCCTAAGCAAATAATTATATAATGTAAATTATATAAATGTACAAGTACATAACTTTATTTCTTTATTATTAATGTTTTATACATTATAGTTACAATATATAGAAAAAATAAAAAGATTATTTGACATAAATTTTTCAATGAGCATTTTGTAATATTCTAGTCTAGATGAAAACGTCATAGCAATTTCTAAATTAAAAAAATGCAATATCACATTTCTTAGAGATTCATTAGTTTCTCTTTGCACATATACTGAGTTTTTACAAGTTTTTGTGAATAAAGGATAAGATGTTAGAATAAACATGTTTGTGTAGATAAATTAATATTATTTGGTATTTATATATAAATTTGTGGAATATATGAATTTATTGCAAAAAGAATCATTGAAAAATAAAATGGGTAATTACTTATATATTGACATTTAGTAAGTTTTTGCATTTCATTCAAAAAATATATATATATTTCTCCAAAATTATACAACTCTCCATATATAAAAAAATATACCTTAGGACTATTTTATAAATCAATTAGGTCATAAATATTTATATACAACATTCGTTTGTTTGGTAAAATTTTAATTAAATTTTATGTATCACCGTTCTTTATTTCAACTGGGCTGAGAATGGTCAACACATATTGGAGAACCTTGACTAATTCCTGCTCCTGTATACTGGTATCGACACTCGACAACGTAAATCTACCAAGAGCTTCTCGAATGCTCTGAGAAAATCCTGCACTTCGTGCGATAAGTTTTCCTTTCTGATTGTTGCTAATCAAGGACCACAACATGGAACCAGCTAAACTAATTTCACACAGCGATCCGTTCTTGAAGATATCGTGTAACAAATTGATAAAATCCACTGAAAAATAGTAAATATATATAATACAATTTGTAATTAATAAATTAGTACTAGTATTAATTTATTCACCTGAACTAAGAAGTCGAGGTCTGTTCGTTACGTTGAATGCTAGATTGCGTAAAATCGATATCGCGAGAACTTTGCTTGATGATGATGAACACTTTGCCAAGTGTATTAAAACATCTAGAGCATCAGTAGCCTAAAATATTGCAATATATATATTATATACATAACAATACTACAAATTGTGTATTAAAAAGTGTATTACAATTAATACACTATTACAGTATTAAAATATATATTAAAATTGATTAAGGAATTAGTCCATATTTTTTTATGTTTTTACCTTTGGTACACATAATTGTCCTTCCTCATAATAAGTAAAATCTATTAAAAATTCTAGGCAATATATCTCCACTAATGGCCATGGTTTTACTCTTTTGGTAATAATGGGATGTATTTTAGTAAAAAATTGAAGGAGATTACTCTAAAATAAATCATTCTTTAAATTCATAATTGATAATGTAAAATCAATATTCAATAATTTATCTTGTATAGTAAGAATGTGATTACCTTTGAAATACAGACTCTGCATTCGTGAACATGCACCGCGTTTCGTAAAATGTGAAAAGCGAGATGCATCTTATGATTATCGAAAATTTGACCGGCTCTTTCGATTTCTTTGCTCGCCACTTGGATAATAACGTGTATCAATGCGAGTGTATTTGGCGTTTTCCTTAATCCGGATCCCGGTAATATTGTCGTTAATGTTAAAGATTGCGCGGCTGAAAAAAGAAATGCAACAGAATTAAATTAAAAAATGCATATAATAAAAAAAAAAATATATATATATACACTATATATTATATACAAATATATACATATTTATTGATATTTTCAATATTTTAATGCTATGTGAAGTCATTTTACCAATGTTACATTTTGTTGTAAATGTCGCCAACAATTTCAAGGCAGATGTTGACACTGTTTTATTTAATGCTATCCAGGCCCACAGTTTGTGCACTACATCTGCTAAACCTTCCTTCGTTAGATTCTCTTTAACATTTGCATCTCCATACATAAAGTTCATTAGAAGTATGAAGATGCAGTTTACATCATGTAACAGAGGATGAGTCTGTGCAATAGAAAAGGTGGTTTTATTACAAAAGTAGTAAATGTTTCTAAAAAAAATCTTAACGTTTTCTTACCTTCTTTTCTACTTGTTTCTTATAAAGTTCAAACGGTTGAAGATTTAGCTTAACGTACAATTCTTTGAGGATCATCAATGTAGTCTCAGGAAGATTATCCTGCAGAGCAATTCGTTTTGCTTCCTTTGATACATATAACAAATTAGTCAGTGCACCTACAATGAGATCTTTATCTTGCAATTGTTTGCAATTCTTTTTGGATTTCGCGTAATTATGAGCGATGAAAAGATGCAGCAAGAGTTCGCATAATTCGCCTCCTATTGTAATCCGTTCTTGATTCAGCGATTTATCCATCGTATGCGAACTTTTCTCGCTTTCGTTTGATTTTCTGGAATGCACGTTCGCGTCTCTTATCGACAATTTATTCACGCTCGATATAACGTCTCGCAAATTATCGTTCTTGCTTTCAATCGCGACACGTGTATCGAGTACCGTATCGAGTGTTGTCTGTAATGAGACGCCACTTTTTCCTAGCGAGTCTTTCTGAATTTCTTGGGATAGTAGAAAAGCTAAGCAACCGATTGCACTCATTCTCAGATCTGTCGCAGAGTCCTTTATCGCATAACAGATGGAAGCCATCACTGTTTCTGGCCCACATAATTCTAACGCGCTTTGAATTGCTTCGAAATGCTGGTCCTCCGTTAACGAAAGTATAGCTATAAAGTTATAGATCTCCGTCCACAATCTATTACGCAGGTATATCAGGCGCGGTTCAGCAGATTCTAAAAAAAAAGAAAAAGAAATTATATATTTATGCAAGGAAGTTAAAAGAATTTTTAAAATATATATTTAAAATTATATTAAAAATAAATTTGCAATATACACTTACGATATAAATCTATATTTAAGAAACAGAATAAAGTATAAAGCGAATCCGAGGAGAAGAGAACGACGGTTGTATATTCGTTGCTGTGTGTGATGCAGTTTGTTAGAACTGTACAGATGTTAATATACATTTCTAATATATCGGAATAATGACTCAAACTCTTCCTGTTTCCATTATCTTTCGGAATTTCATTAAAACATCTTAAAACAAAAGAAGTCAAATTTAACATCTCAGTGACGAAAAGATAATTTGTATGTCTTACAGATATTCTTTTCGCATACATACCCAAATAAATACCTATCGATAGAATGCTCATAGATCTGTCGAACTACCTCATGTAGTCCAATGAATATTAAATTGTTCAATAAGTTACAAGCAGCTGTAATAAGCGAAGGCGTCGTGATTGACTGCATGGAACTATCCACATCAGTTATTTCAGAATCTCTACCGGAAACTAAAATTAATCAATATAACAAAGAAATTAATTATAAATTATACAAAGCAAATATATCGCTAAATAATTTATAATTAAATAATGTAATTACATGCTTGTAATTCATCCTGACAGTTGTATAGATACGATATGATGCATGGTACCAGTGAAAAGCAACCAGATTGTGCACTTTGCATGAAAGTTGCTTTGCTGTTGTTCTTTTGATATTCTGATTGTTCCACGTCTAGAGTAGTCAACATATAAATGTTGGAACACAAAACACTAATTTCATGATAAATATTGCGCTGCTCCACATATATTAAGATGGTTTGCGATTGTAAAGAATCATCCTATATAAAATAAAAATTACAATTTAATTAAAGATCGATAATTCTTAAATATGTATATATAAATATAAAATATTTTAATAATAAATATTTTATATTTATATTACAGAGCCTTGTTAAACTCTTAAAGTATGTATATATATATTTTTCATATTTTTGCAAAAAAGATACGTATATATCTTCATAAATCCAAATATATATAGACATATGGAATACATGCATTATTTTTACTTAGATATCTTTTCTTGCTTACACATTGAAAAGTCATCGAATTCTTCAGCATATTGCAAAATGCGATACATGCTTGTTCTCTAACTAAACAAGACTCCTCTCTATTCGCGACGCATTGAAGCAATGTGTAACACAGATCACTCGGGGCCATGGCAATTGCGTTGAGAAGTTGCGACGCAGTGTGTACTGTGTTCATCAGACCTGCCAGTAATTGCAATGCCGAAGCGCGAACCAATGGATCTCGATTTTGCCACAACATAGGCAACCAATTTAATGAGCGACCTTCTTCATGCCAAAATACTATCCATGACTGTAATGATATAATGATATTAATTCATTTGTACCGAAATTGATAATTAATGCAAGCTATGCAAAATTATTGATTAATTTTAGTAATTGATAAGCACATTGTTTTCAAAATACTATTAAATCAAGGATGTATACTCACATTCTTATTAAAATTTACTTGCATCTGATACAACAAGTGATTAAGACATATAATCGAGTTTCTTGTTATTGATAAACCCATAAAACTAACTGTACCAGCACCATGAAAAGATACAATTGGTTCTATGAGCGTATTGCAAAGAGACAATAGTAAGTTCTTATGATCTCCCCATTCGCACTGTCCGATTAAATATGTTAAACATGTTAACAACCAATCGAGATACGCTATAACAAAATAAAAAAGAAAAAAATTATGACATTTTAAATTCCACAAAATCGATTTTCTATTATTCTCAAGAATAATTGTTCAAATTACAATTTGGATAGATTCAACAAATACTAACCGAGATTGTAGAAATGCTGCTGATCTCCGAAACATAGTGTCGAAACAACAAACTCTACAAATTTAATCCAGGTATTCTTCGGTTCGTCATTGAATTTTTGTCTTTTTTCGATCGCAGAACATGTACGTACTAATTTAAGAATAGATTGATGTACATTCTGATTATCAACTTCCAAGTTTTTAAATAAATCTGCCAAAGATCTTGTCATGTTTTTCATAATTTTACTAATCCAAGATCCTTTTAAGAATTAGGAAAAAATTTAACATCCTAATATAATTTTACCATGAGAAATAATATCTAAAAATATCACATATAAATCATATTTTTTACCTTTTTTTGTCACATTTAAATATAATTGTAAAAAAATTAGAACGTCCACAAATAAGTCACAGTCCTCTTTACTAGCAGGATGTGATAATAAAAATCGTTCAAACGTTTGCTCCCAAGGTAGTAAATCGATTTCTTTTTCGTTATCACGTTGGAGTATTTTGTAAAATTTTAGATACCTAAAAATCAAATAATTAAAATAAAATTAGTAAATATATAATAATAATAAATGCTCCTGATATTAATTAAAGTCAAAATAAAAGAGATTCTTAGTGATAATAATAACTTACATTGTAAGGTAATCTAATGCACACATAACACTATAATGCGTAGTAGAATTTTGAATATTGTAGAGTTGCTGTTGACAACAATATTGAGGAAAGCTGTATTGCAGAGAAAGGAAATCTTTTTCAAGAATCATCAATTTTTGTGTGATTTCAGAATTTTTTAAATCATCTAAACTTTTCCACAACATATTTATACCGTCATTCCATTCCCATGCCCAATACTGTCTAATGAAAGTTAGGGCCACTGGATTGCTGCCATGAAGTACTAAAAATTTAAATACATTGTTTTAACTTTATAACTTAAAGAGAGCAAAAACAGTTTTTTTTATGTCAAAATCATATAGAATCAGTTTTTCTTCAGTTGTGTGAAGAGTTATTATAGATTAGTTACAGATACTGGAAACTCTCAACTTACATGATACATCAGATTGCCTGTATATACTTGTTTTCCAATGAGATTTGCACGCAAACGGCAATTTCATATTTGTCACAATAATATAAGGTAATGAAATATGTGATGCAATGCCATTTTCCATTAATGCTGCTTTTTCATTAACTCTTATAATGTGTTCGCTATAGAGAAGTAAACACAGCAGTTGCGCGCCATCGGTTTTTATACACTCGTTGTTTGGAAATAAAAAAAGACCTAATACAGAAATTTTCTGCATTATAATTATGTTGTGAATTATAAAATAACACACATCATAAAATTATTAAATAATTATCTTTGATATAAACTCTTTGAACAAAATGAAATTGTACAAAGAAATATACATACTTCTTATGATATTAAAGAGAACATTGGTGTTGACAGATAATTCGTGTCGTATAGAACATTCAAAAAATGCGAGTAATTTTAATACGCTGATTATCGGTATTACAGAATCTGGATAATTTATATAATCTTTCTCTATCTACAAATAATATGTTTAGATAAAATAAAAGAAAATCATATATAATATCCTCTTTTATAAAGTTAGAAAAGCAATAACTTACTAGAGCTTTATTGAAAATATCCAAGATCAAAGGCAGCCCACCTTGATCAATGAACAATTTGTGTAAGGAAGTGTCGGAAAGCATCACGCTAATTTGTACCAATGCGGATTTTCGTATTTTTGGATCTACATTTGGTTCGTTTAACATTTCCAATACTGATAACATATTGCTCCTCTGCAAAGAAAATATTTTTATTAGAATGTTTAATATCAAATATACATATATATAGTATTCTCTAAAAGATTAAAATTTTAATTAAACATACAAAAAAGGACTAGTACGTGTGTGTGACTAGTATTAATCTATGTTAAGTAGAAATAAATCAAGACTATAAGAGACCTTTAAATATTCTGAATATAAATATGTAACCTGATAATTGCCTTCTGATCGCTTAACAAAGGTTTTACGTTCAAATATGCAAAGTGAACTGAGAGGTAAGCCATGTAAAGATGACAGTCGTGGTAATTTTTGGAGAGAATCCTTTTCCTTTCCAAGAAGCCAGATTAAACGACATAACGCTTCTTCTCGTACATCACTGTTTGGCGAATAAAGAAATCTTAAATTGCCTTTTAACATCTGAAATTAAAAGTTATATAAGTTATATAATACATGACGAAAAATTGTAACATGAAAAAAATATCTTAAAATATGTCAAATTACCTCGATAAATGGCAATAATATATTGTTGGAAACATCAGGATCAAATATCTTGGTAACACACTGACCTAAAGGTGAATGGGTATCAGCGTGACACTGTAAAAGATAGAGCACAGGAACAAAAGCTTCTAAAGTTTTTAACCATCCAGTTTCGCCCATTTGTATTCTCCCTTTCAATATAAACACTAATATATCTTTTGATATTTCACTTATCTAAATATAAAAATATAAAGCATTATGAAACCAAGCACATACAGTTATTTTTTAACAATATTCGAAAAATAAATTTTCATTACCCTGCTGTCTTCGCTCATTACGCCGTGAGAGATAATTTCCGTTAAAACATTCGGTTCAAGTAAGAATATTAAGTTTTCCCATGATAACTTATTTTTATTATATTCTACTCCCAAAATATTTTTAACTAAAATATGACATTCGACATATGTGGCATGCCGAATATTTACATCTGCGTTTGCTAAGAAATTTAGTATCAGTTTTGTTGCTAGTGCATGGTCTTCGTTATTTAGAGAATATTTTGAAATGTCTTGCAGAAATTTTATAGCAATTTTAACAATAGTTAAATTTTTATGATATGACAAACTCAATTTAGATACATATAACATTCTTAAAGTTTCTGAAGGCGATTGTTCCACTGAACCTTTTAATATAGAGATAGCTGCTTGCATAGACTTTGCAACAGTTTTAGTTTCATCAAATAATTTTATCAATTCTATCTCATTAGCGCCTTGAAAGTGCTATAAATAAAAAAAGTTCGTATTGTTAATCAATATTAATATAGTGTATGAAATAGAACATAATTGAATTACTTACACGAGTATATTCCAAGAGCATCAAATGCAATGCCGGATATAATAGATATATCGGTGCATCCATTACAGCATTTGCTATGGATACTTTTAAACTATTCGGTATAACACTGTCTGCCAGTTCCAATGGTACAATACTACTCAATAATTTCATAATAATAGTAGTAAGATGCAAGTACGTTATTCTCAAGTAATCCACATTGTCGCAACTTTCAAAGTATTCCATTACCTCTCCCATTAAATTGAATAGCGATTTCAAATCGTCATTTATCTTCAATGCTGTACCATCATTGCAGAGCCAGATATTCGGCATTATACTAATTGTAAGCAACTGCACTAATTCGTGAGTTAGATCTGTGATGTACTTGATGTTTTGTAAAGGAAAAGTGGAATTGACAGGTAAACTTAACTGATTAAGAACATGTTTCAGAGACTCTATACAATAAACCGGCAGAAGCATCTGTTGCAATTGCAAGACGGAATCGTCGATATTTTCGCTAATGCTCTGACTTCTATCGCTAGTCCCCTAAAAGATAGTATTGATAATAGTATTGATAAATGCAATAAAAAATCCTAAGAAAAATAAACTTAATATAAGAAATTAAAATATTTACTGCTGATTGATATGCTTGATAGTTTGCCTCGGGTAAACCACCATCTGGACCATCTCCAGCTTCCGAGGACATGTAAACATTGTTATCCAATTTATTAGCCAATAACTGTATAAATAAATAATGGAAATATTATTATAAAGAAAAGTAATCCCTAAGTAAGCTTGATAATTGTATTACATATTGCTAAAAGATAATATTAGATAACTTTTATATCAAAAGAACTAAAATATAATTGTCATTTAATAATTAGTACACACTTTTATTTACCTTTTGCTTTTTATTTGCCACGCATGGTTCACAATAGTAGTAAATACGAAATTTTAGGGAACGCGTCAGTTTACGCAAAGTTTTTAACACTGTTGGAACCACAGATGTGATATTAATTTCTGACATGTTAGTACTTGAAGTAAGAAGCCCATGAAGTACCTGTAATGTTATTTCAGATAATTTATTTTGTCATACTATATTTAGAACAATCAATATAATTTATAAAGAGAAAAACATTTACTGTAATGATTGCTGGACGCTGAAGAAAAACTTCTGCTGGAAAGTCTTGCATCATAACATTTGTTATAAACTGACATGTATGTAATATATGATTAATATCAGTGTCATTAAGAGCTTCCTCTACTGCAGTAAGTACTCCTTTGTCCGACGTAACCAGGGGCTGCCACGGCATTATTAACCATTTTATACCACCTTCTATAGTCTTAGAAACTTGTGTGCCATTTTCGCATTCCAATGTTACATCGAGTGGTATTGTACTATGCACACATGCAATTGTATATATTTTATGTATATTAATTTTGTGTAACAAATACATAGACATTATATATAATATATAAAAAAGATATTTTTACTTTTTACTGCTGAAATTTTTCTAATGCTCAATAATAACAGGTTTCTAACATTTGTGTTAATTTTCTTACCTATCCAAAATAGAAGGCAGATTGAAAACACTATGCAAATCATCATGGCTTTCTCTTTCACAATTCTCACTTTTATATCTAGCATGATTTTGTGTTTGTGTTCTATATCTATCAAACTCTGAACATATTGTAGTTAAATCCTGCAATGTAAATATATTTAGTTCTTTCCACAATTCTAGTATATACATATGTATTAAAAAGTAATGTATCAATATTCTCATACCTTTGTGTCTACATTTGACCCATCTATCTGATTTTTTTTCACATGAATAACAGCCTCCTCAATTTCATCTAATTTTGCATACCATTCAGGAGAGAGTTTTCTTCTCAATTCGTAAAGTTCATTTTGAAACTTTAATTTACCAAATGCGTTCAAGTAACTTTTTGCATCTGTCTTAAGGTAAAGATTGTACATTATTATAAATAAAATATACTAAGTTTTTCATAATCAAATTTTTTACAAAATAATTTGTCACATTAGCAGAATAGTCCAAGTACCTTTACTAGCTGCAATAATAAGTTTAATACTTTATCTGGTTGGGGAGCAATTTCGAACGAAAACCAGTTAAACAGCCTCTGAATTATCTCTTTTTTGACAGCGTCGCAGTCGCATATGAAACCGAGATCATACTTGGAAATAATATTGTCCAAAGCTCGCAAGCGTATTTCATCAATTGTATGGCCTAAAAACAATGTTAATGTTCCAAAAAAATATATATATTGCAAAAAGGTGTACGCGTATCTTAGTTTAAATAATTAATTGCAGTTTCCTTGCATTGCTTTCTTACCCAATTTTTTAACATGTACAGCTGTTATTCCCGCAGTGGCTAACATCGTAACAATAATAATCTGTCAGACTGCTGTATCACAGAGATGATTATCCATTTGTCATTAAAAATTTAACCGCCAAATTCACAGCTGCATCGTCATTTTTTAAAGTCGGAGATGATTAGCGAGATAATGAGATGGGCAAATAAGGGATAGAAATAAATGAGCGATCGCAGCGCCTCGTAGCGGTCGCTCCTCGAACTAGTTACACAAAATCTGTCGATAAAGATGCGCATCTACTTTACCAACAGATAATGGCGCGTATATTCTATGGTCATATTTCTCGTGACAGCTTCAACGTGACGCGCATGCGCGGCAAAGACATTCAATCGAATTTCATGCGACATTTGCGCGATATATTATATAGTTTATGTTTATTACAGAGGAAATTTATTTGTAAAAAACATTTAAAAATGGTGTATGAGCTTATATAGCTCCAGCCAAATAAGAAGGAAATTTATGCAAAAAATAGTGACATGTATTATCTAAATAAAGGTTTAATTGCTTTAGAAATGTGCCGCGAAAAGTGAGAAGAGGATGATTTTTATTATTGTGACTTCTTACAATTGGAGATTAACAGAAACGAGAATTTCTCAAAGGATTTCTCCGTTTAATCATCTTATGAAATTTTACAAGGATAATTCGAAGCACATGCCTTTCGCTAAACGAGGTACGTGTAGATATTACAATCGGTTTTAATTTTACGACACTGAATTACATAATTATGTACACATCATTTAACTGCATATAAACATACAAAAGGTTTTTTTTTTTAAGATTATAATCATCGAGTCGTTGATAAATCGTCACCGAAATATTACCGCCTTTTTAGCACCAGAGCTCGACTTTCTCGAATCGTTCGGAATTTGACAACTTTCGGTATACCGGGTATCTATGAAGCTCGAAGCTTGATCGCTTATCCGAAGAAAAAACGAATCGTCATCCCGTAACAGATTCGAGCACATTTTTATGACTCTGTAATTTTTTTTTCACTATAATCATGCGAAAATAATTTATAAAGTATGTCTAGGAGCGATTTTATCGATCGTTTTGATGTTTCCTTTTTTTCTGTTTGAAAGATCGAGCGAGACTGAAATACATTACCCTGGAATACACGCAAAGACCCCATTATTAATTTCGCCAAGATCAATAGAAACGTTACTTTTGCATTAATTACGGGATGATCGATACGTATAAAAGCGCCAGATAAATACGCGCGCGATGCGATCTCCGTTGGTGCTCTTTCTCTTTTATTTTTTTGTTGCCTCTCTCTCGGCTATGCTAATGATAACGCATTTAACGAAATGGCGCATATATATGTATGTTCGCAATTCGATTCGTTATTCGGTCGTTTACAAATGTTGGCATAAAAACATGATTTATACGACGCCTCGTGCGTCGGAAATAAGTCATCAATGAGATGATCGCAAATGAAGCACGCACGCTTCTCACGCAATTACGTAATTATATATAATATATATAACATATATAACTGCGTGCGAAATAAGCGTATAAGCGGGTCGTTTATTATCTCTATATATCTTTCTATCATATGAAATTACGTCGAGAAAATGCGATTCTCCTATTATTACGTAGACCGTTCTCGAGGTGAATCCGCGCTAAAATCGTATCTCGATCGCAAATGGAACCCGATATACGATGTATTTTTTTAGTGATGCACGTCTGCATCATGTTTTATCAGAAATCGATCGCATCTTCTTCCGACGATACGACGTATACGACGTGTCTCGATGTTTGTTCTCTCACTCTCGATTCGACAGAGCTCTCCTCTTCTTTTCTCTCTCTTTCGAATAATCTGCGACGTAGCGAGAATCCTTCGCAAGAATTCTTCCCGACGAAATTTCACACCGGACAAGATACGCCGAAGATTACACTTATTTCGATTAAAATGTGCTTACTCTCGCGAGAGAGCTCGGTCTCGTCTCTACAATCGCGGGTCGAGTTTTATTACGCGTGTGAGGATTATTATTGCTTCTTGTTACTCCATATATGACTTTGGTCGCGTGACGAACGCAAATTATGTATTATTTCATTCCGCTCGCCTATTGCTTTTGAGTTATGTTCAGCGAGAGACGAGTCAAAACTTTTCAATGTGTTTTCTACGTTACAAAATTAAAGTTAAAAAATTACCTTTACTTTGTTTTCCTCATTTTTCTTTAGCAAAAATGCCCAACTCGACATCAAAGAAATTACAATTGACAAAATTACAATTTATTTTGACGCATAAAACATAAATAAAATATATATTTATTGTATGTCTTCCAATTTCCTGATCAACTTGTATTGATTTATGCAAAAGCTTCGATGCAGCTCAATTGACAAATAAAAAATGTATATACTCATGCACAATAAGTTTATTTATCAATTGAACTTTATCGGGACTTTGTCAGAAATATACTTAAAATTTGCATGCATATATACAATATAATAAAGACGTAAATAAAGAACAATAATGTTTGGAATAATGTTTGTTTTGGAATAATGTTTTGCTGGATGTATTATTACGCCAAAAGTAATAAGCTAGTTGCATTAACGTCATATTGGTCGAGAGAAAATACCATAAGTTTCAGCATTTTAATAACGCGTTCGTCCACGATTTACAATAATATGCACAGAAACGTGATGGAAGCGTGGCTATATACGTGGTTAAGCTACGAGCTCTTTGATCCCTTTAATCCCTTCCCAACGATAATGTATTAACATGTATTGCGAAATGAGACCTTCTCGGTATAATAAAATTCTCCTTATCGATCTCTGATATATATATCAAAACGAATGTAAAGATATAAATTATGTAAATCACAACAACAATTTATTCATCTATATTTAATTCTACACACATTATCCTACGAATTCGTAACGATATTATATGTAAATATTTTACAATAAAATTCAATTCTATCAAACGCGCGTATAACGTACACAAATTTGTCACGTACTTTCCGTTGATGAGATTCTGCGATTTAATTATTTTTAATAGAATAACTATATATATAATTTTAAAATTAATTTTTTTTTCCATTTGAGTATCTTTAGCGCAATCGTATAGTTTACGTGATAAATTTATTTACATATAATTATTTGAGCTAAATCGATCTGAAAGATATTTTTGTTACACCGAGAGTCTCAAAAAAGTTTCGTTGCGCATTACAAAAAAAAAAAAGTCACTAACAGTAAGTGACAGCGTCTTTTCCAATCACATTTCTAGATTTGCCGATAATCGCAATATCGTATCGAGCAGAAGGGGTTAATTTGATGGCTGCATTGCAAAATCTCGGCCCTAAATACTCGAGAATAATTTGCATTAGTGCAATTTTCGCGCGTTGACATATATTCTATCTAATTTATAATAATATACCTTTATTTTTATACTTTCACGAAAATTGATTACACGTTCACATATGGTTTTTCAATAAATGCATTCAATGTGTATTTTCCTTTGATATAAAAAAATGTTTATTTTAGTGATTTATCTTGTCAGAGACAAATGGTATAACCATTCACTTTATATACACATTTTTATTCATCCTCTTTACTCGTGTATCCATTGCTTTATTGAATTGTAATTTTTATCCTGTATCTTTTTCATGTTTGTTAATAAAATTTCGAGTTATATATATATATGTATAGTACAATACATCATCGTTGTGTATACATACACAATACGCGTGTATTATCGGTTCTCGTCCTGTGAATAAAACAAATGTACACGATGTAACTGGGCGAGACGTTGCAATGCTACCCGATACGAAGCAAAATTGGTCTTACAATCACACAGAGACATAACGACGGCTACAATCGACTTTGGCTCGTATATGCAGTTAAACAATCGGACCAAGTACAACGTATTAGGGAATTAATTAATTAGATTAGACGCCGAGCGTCTAATGGAGCGCTCATTAAGAGATACAAGAGAAGAAGCGACACGAGAATTCGATATTCTTAAAGTTTTTCTACCGAGGTAAGAGGAAAGAGGAAATGGCAGGGTAATATTACGACGGGAAACATACACGGTATATCCTATTAGAAAAAAAAAAAAATAAATAAAAAATAATAAATATCATTTAAACGTTAATTACAAATTCGGTCCGAGTGACAATGATTCTGATGAGATTCGATGTCACTTCGTTCCTTGGTTTAACAATTTATCGTAGACATCGATAACGATAATATTTTGGTTAAGAGTGTGTGTATGTGTTTGTATGTGTATAGGCGTGAATATGAATGCGCGCATGTGTGTGTTCTTATTGTGTGTGAATTATACAAGCTATATTTCACGTGTCACTTTCGATCTAGAGCAAAGTCGACGAGAGGAAGAGTTGCTTTCTGATAATAATTAATGAAAACAAGGATTTTTTTCTTCGGCGTCAAAATTAACACGCGCGTAATAGCTAAATATATATGTAAATATATATTCTTATAATTTGTCGATAAATCTCTCAATAACAATAAGTTACTATAAAATTTTATTTTTGTGGAAGCGCAGTTGTGCTTAATTAACATTCGGCTTAGTATGATAATTAAGATGCGAGAATTTAGAATTTTTGATTTTTTAAAAATTACAACTTTATGCGAGAAAAAAGAAACGTTGCTTAGATTATTTTTATTAATTCTTCAAGTAGAGTTCACTGATGCACTTAGGCAATTGTTCGTCGAAAAAAGGGTGTTTTTTGCGATTAGGAGAAACAAAATTAAAACTAACGCAAAACCGATCACTGATGCTAAACGGTACGTAATATAGATACGTAACTAACGATCGCTATCTACGCTCATTTAAAATACTGTCTGGTTTCGATCGACTCTTATCGATATCGATGGAACAACTTTATTATTTCTGTTTTGCGTGTCGGAATTATTCGCGACAAATAATCGCCAAGTTATAAACGCGTTCCCTCTCCGCGGTTTCTCTCTGTACATTGTTTTATTAAAACTTACGCGGTAGCTTGTTGTATATATGTACGTGTGTACACACACACACACATATATATATGTATATATAGATATCTTGTATGTATACATACAATATATCAATTTTTATATATATATATATATATATATATGTATAAGATATGAGTAAATGTATAATAAATTAATTGTTAATGTCGTTATTAAATCTATTTACTA